AATCCTTGATTGTTTTGATAAAAAATAATGATATAAGTGCAGTTGAAAGATGCATCGGATATGGCTCTGATCTGGAGAACAGAAACGCTGTAAAGCAAAGGTTGATTAAAGTCTATACTAATTATTATCAGAATTTAGCACAGAGAGTAAAGTGTCGCCTATAAACAGTGCTTGTGATTGGATATGAGTCAAATTAGTGAGCCTCTGTGCGCAAAAGTGACCCAATCAACTAGCGTGCCAGGACGCGTCGCGTCCAGAAATGTGGCCTCTGATTACAGCGCTGTCAATTTGTACCGCACCGTTGGCCCAAATTGCTGTGTACGGCTTTGCCGATGTAGCGGTAACACAGCCGAGCCCTGCCAAGTTCCGCTGCCACCCCTGCCTTTCAGCCAGGCCATTCAAAGCGAGTCGTGGAATTTAAAACGGCTGACATAGCCAGCCAACTCCATCTTTCACTGAACTTGTGCAAGTGGGAGAGAAGAGGTTCTGGGTTTCATTCGCCTACAGCAATTTGACCTGCATTCTCTCATTAATTTTTAGCCAGGTCAGCGAAAAGCAAAAAACGGAAAACAGAAAACCGAAAACAGGTCGACAATCGATTGAATCATCAAAGGGATATTTTCCTTCATATTTTGCATTTTTCCTAAGCACTTAATGGGAAAAACATTTCAAGACCTTGCAACTACAATAATACTTAATCCCTAAAAGGCCACAAGCCTCAGTTCCAGTTACTCGTTTCAAGTACGCTGAAATACAATATGAAGAGCATATTTTAGGTTACCCTCAGCATTTTAAGGTGAACTTCCTGACATAGTTGTGACACTTACAAGGCTATTCTAAATGGAAATCGTGGAATTACGTGTGATGTAGATAATATATATATATATATATATAGATGATATATAGAGGATGTTTAGTTTTTTTTATTTGAATTTAAGCACTAATTGCTTCGTTAATTATGATTCAATTATTTATTTTTTCTATTTGATAGAGTGGCCCATTTAGAACATAATCTTGATCCTTAACAGCGGACAGAAGATGACTCTTCAAATTGGCAGGCGAGAAATCAATATGTGGACTTTGCTGTCTTTGCCACGTGGCGAATGCTGCGGCAACATCAAACAGCTGCGCTGTGGCAACAAGCTGCTGCCAGCTGGCAACATTTATGGCTCTCTCAGATAAACTTGAGTAAAGCTTTGTCAATCATTGGAGGCAGGCATATTTCTGTGAGGCAAGAACGATTGCAATTGCTATAAATTCGCACGACGACTTTGAGTTGGACAACAGTCGCATTTGATGGACATGTGAGGAAGGTCAGAAACTGTCAGCCACTTGTTATATACATATGTTGACATTATGTTCCTCAAGGCATTATAGAAACAAGGAGATGACTTCGCAGTAGACCAAAGTAAAATAATCAACTTAATGGTAAAAAGCGCCCTTAGCACTCTGTTCAATGCCAATGACCGACGACCAATTTGTTATGCGTGTCATATTCACTAATATGGCTAAATGTCAATATGCGCCACACTTTTAAAGTCAGAGTTACCAAATATTGCTCGAAAGATTAGTAATTGTAGCAAGTCAAAAAGTTTTGAAAGTTGTGCTTACTTATGTCTTTAGCTAGTCACTACTACAATATTTATATTATTAGTCGTAGCTGGTTTGTACAAATGTTGTCAAACAGTTTCCAGTTGGTTAACTCGCATTTATTTAAGCATCAAGGGAATATCGCATTACATGCGCTCGCTGCTGCTGCTGCTGCTGCTGCCGCTGCTGCTGCTGCTGGTTCTGCTGCTGCTGCTTCTGCTGCCAGATACTATCAAACTAATCCAATAACTTGAACTTGCACATCCCAATGAGAATTTTCATTTGCTTTGCGTTTGCGTTGGCAGACGAGCACGTCCTGTGTATTGTGGAGTCAAATTTTATGGGACGCAGGTTCCGAGTGGGAAAAGTTACTTTTAATGAAGCATTTAAGCCGCCCAGAACTAGCAGTCGGCAATCCTGTAATCCCGCTCCTGCGCAGCCTGTTGGCTCAAAATGTTGCATGTCGCCCAATTAGGCGAAAAGTTAAATTGCTTATCTGCGTTATAAATTTGTGCGAAAATTGACTCGAGTGAGTGGAATTTATGCGCTGGCATAAAAATATTTTAAGCTGCTTTGAATTTAAATTGCACATTATGTGTCGCAACTCCTTGAGCCTGTGTAAAAGCGCTGAGCATACAAAGATTATGAAAACTCGTTAAATCCCAAATGACATATGATGAGTTGGAGCACAGCACAAACCGCAGACTAATGCGAAATGCGAACTACGCCGAAACAAAAAAAAAACCAAAAACAAAAACAAAAAAGAAGAAATTCAACGACAGCAGCCAGTTAGCCTGACCAGAAAGGACCCACAACGAATGCAACATACGGTCTTAATTTCCCGCTTAGCCGCAGCAACCTAATGCCTTTTTCATTATAGTTGCAGTTGCATTTAAATTATGTTTATGAAACTGGCAAAGGCTTGCAAAACAACACACAAAAAACCACAAACCGGAAAAGTTGAGGAGCATTTTGCTGTAACTACAACAAGTTGACTTTTTCGACTCGCCCAGCAAGAGTTATGTAAAGCGTAAGGCTTGAGATGGACTGGAGTGGAAGGGGGCCACAGCAAAGCTACAGTTACAACCTAAACTGTATGAGTGTGTGTGTGTGTGTGTATTGAGTTAAAGCTTAAACTTAATTTGTGCAACATGTCACATACATTGCTACATCAAGTCTTTTTTGGCTTAGACTTTGCTGACATTTTACAGTTGTAGGCTTTGCAACGACTAAGCGAGCCAAATCCTTCCTTAAAGAAACAACTGTGCTTGACATTGAGTTATAAAGAGTAAAAAATAGTCCTGTTTTAAAATATTTTGTGGGTAAATGCAGTTGAAAAGGTTTTCAAAAATAAATATTTAACGTTACGAATTAAATTATACAAAATGGAGAATGTAAATTAAAACATAAAATAAATGATAAAATAAGATAAAGAATATAATAAATAAATCTGTGGGTGTTCAAATGTAAAATGGAACCCAGGAAAAACCCAATCAGACTAAAAATAGTTAAGCGTTAAGAGGCGAAAGAGCGAGATTAATTTAAAGATAGGCAAATCTCAGATCCTGTGGAGTAAGATAAGTATGCCACACATAGGTTATATATATTCCTGATCAGCATATGTCTGCCTGTTTCAGTTGGAAAGGTATATTAATGCAACTTGCCTTTTATCAATCTATTTGCTGCAGTCCTTACATATATCAGAGTCCCCCGGATCGGTTGACTATATATGCACAATTGGTTCAATTATGAGTTCTAGTTTGGAATAGTTTTTGTTTAACATGCTATCTAGATTAAATTTACTAGGCTCCTCACATTTCTCAAATTGAGTTATCAACATTGGTCTACAATATCATATAGCTTTCATAGGAAATAGGAACCATCTAAAGCCTTCTTAATATAACTTCAACCAAGGGTACATAAGGTTATGTAATGATATAGTTTCTTGCCAGTTTTGTTATATAACAATATTAAGCACACCATTGTGGAATGTGGAATATATACATATGTAAAGAAACATATATCTTAAGGATATTTATACCTGTCAGGTGGGCATTTATCCGGTTGGATTTTAATAAGTGCACTGCAAGTGGGTGCTAAGCATTCCGTATACAACTGAGACTGAGACGCTCGACGCATTCATTACTCATATTTATGTTCTGGCCACCATGTAAACCATTTGATTAATCGCATTTAAGCAGAATTAATATCTTAAACACACATACATGTTATGCCAGTCGTGCCAGGACTTGAGCCAAAATATGATGGCAAATAACATTTAATAAGCCAAACAAGGGAATGTTGACACCATTGCTTCTGTGTGTGTCTGTGTGTGTGTGCTTGTAATACGTGACCTCATCTTGGGGCGTCCGACTCACCAATGAATCAGACCGCACATAGATCTCTGTCATGGGCATTAGCATTGCGACAGACCAAAGATAGTTCATCAAAACTGACAAGCCCATTGGGGCCGCAGAAGGAGAAGCAGAAGAACGGAGCAGGAGCCGGAGCCGGAGGTGGCAGAACTAGGACAGCGCGGATATTCACGTTTTAGAAAATCTGCATGACAACAACAGGAACAACAACAAGTGCGCTGCTAGCTCAAAGCGTTCCTTCCAGCCACTACCCACCACTGTCTGTGCTGCTCTCACTTTAGATTTTACACTTCTGGTGGATTCCACACTGCTGCGAAGAAGTATTCATCAGTATTTAAGTCACGCAGCGCGCAAAAGCTTTGTCTGCGGGTCCGGGAAACGTGGTGGCAACGGGATTGGGTTGGATGGGGAGCAAGCTGTCAGTAGTTGTATGTTGACATTTCAATGACAGTTGTGAAAATTGTGAATATGCTTTCGGTTGCCTTTTTGTGCTGTGTTGTGGTTTGCGCCAGCAAGTTGCGCCGCGCTTTTGTTCGATGTACGCAATTTTATTATCACGGACAGCTTGCGTTGGTTAGTTACTCACATGCTACAGTCTGCCGTAGAATAACACCCATCCATACACACACACATAGATTCACACACACACACACACACAGATTCACACACACATTCACACAATCGGCAATTAGTCGCGTTTGTTTTAGCTAGCAAGTGTTTTAATTTGCATGTTTGCTTATGACTGTGAAGCTTTTGAGGCAGTTAGCTACCTATTTGGGTGAGCAACAAGTTATTCTAATAGATACTCTGGGTTTGAGGGGTGCTGCTTCTGCTGCAGTATTACTAAGCTCAGATCTGATATCCATTTATTATGCTATTTCAAGTTGAATCACATAGTTATCTAACATTCGAGTCATTTTAATAGATCCTCCAGTTTGTTGAATCTATTCTTACTTTTACACATTGAGAAATGTTTCACAACAAAATATACATAGTCTCAACACTTTTAGATTCAGTTCAATAAATAGTCAACACGAAATATCCTAAAACTTGAAATCAAAATTTCGGGAATCATGAAGCCGATATTCCCATGGCTAATCAGCTGTTGTGCTGGAATGATGTTGGGCGCCCAATCGATCGACATTTGCAAGATAGCCAATGAGGAAAACGAATCCCGGCATGCAGTTGGAATGGAAACATCTGCGATTCGGGAGGACTTCGAACAACCCTTCATTATGGGATCCGCGCAGATAAGTGCAGTGTTGCAACAACTATTGAGCAGCGATGAGAAGGGTCTGAGGAGCCTTACGCAATATAATATTATTGGCACTGTGCCCAATGCTATTAAGTCTGACTACATGCTCGGTTCCGAGTCATTGAATCGCATGCTGGAGAATATGTTGGCGCATCCTTGTAACGACTCCGATAAGCTGCCTCATATTGAACCAGCCATACAGCTTTAAAATCATCCATAATGTTTATATTTGTGAATACATTACTCTTTTTCATTTTTTTCTTCTTGCATATGTATTACATCATATTATGACCCGTTGAATAACGAGCATATCCTTTAACACCCTGTCAGAGGATAAGATGTGTGAAGTCGCTCAGCTCCAATTAATCAACTTGGAAAATCTAATTCGTATTCAGCTCAAGCCTTTAGCAGCGGGTCAATTCCAAAAGCAGCTGTTTAAATATGTGACGGTACATAAGCGCTTAAAAAAAAATCCAATATTTATGTTACTAATAAAAATTTGTAGCGGTGCCGATTTTATTGTCCGATTTATAATCTAAATAATAATAATATGCCAATAATTACAACTCATGTCAGCTGTTTTTTGTTTACAAATATTGTGAAGTGCTGCCACATCTGCATATATAAGTAAAATCACTGTAGGGTGGCAGCACTATTCGTTATATCGATAGTTGCGTCATAGTATCGCTTACATTGGTCACACTGGCTGCATTTAATATAAACAGAAAAACTAAAATGCTACCTGGCGTTGGCGTATTTGGAACAGGTGAAATAGCCAATGTGCTGGTGCCGCTGCTGCGCGAGAAGAGTTTTGAAGTTAAAGCGATATGGGGACGCACGCTGCGGGAGGCGAAGGAAACGGCCAACGCACTGGGCGTCACATTCTACACAAACGTCATTGACGAGGTGCTCCTACGCAAAGATGTCGATCTGGTGTTCATTGTGTGCCAGCCGTTTCTGCACGCCGAGATCTCGGTCAAGGCGCTGGGCATTGGCAAGCATGTGGTGTGCGACAAACCAGCCGGCCTGCATCAGATGGACTCCATGAAAATGGTGCGTGCCTCGCAATACTATCCCACGCTTATCTCACTGGTGAATCATCCGCTGAGGTTTCTGCCCGCTTTCACACAAATGCGACGTTGCCTGCAGGATGAGCTAATCGGACCGATGGGCGACGTTGTTCTAATGGATGTGCGTGTCCAAATGGGCACACTGTTTCCCGAGAAGTACAATTGGATGTGCGACGCACAGATGGGCGGCGGCGCACTCAATCTGGTGGGCAGTGTTGTCGATCTGGTGAACTTTCTGCTCCAGCAGCAGGCGGTGCGTGTCCATGGCGTACTGCGCGCCCATACGAAAACGACAGCGGCCATCAATGGTATACGCCAGATAACGGCACCGGATTTCTGCAATTTCCAAATGGAGCTGGCGAGTGGAACGCTCGTCACGGTGGCCTTGCACAGTCACACGGTGCCCACAAGAACCTTCTCGCAAGAGGTGCTCGTCTATGGCAGCAAAGGTCATCTGGTTGTGCGGGGCGGCGACCTCTTCGTGCTGAAGGAGTCCCAGCAGAAGGAAGAGGCAGTCTACGTGGATGTCCAGGATCTGCATTTCAACACAAATAACTCGCTGCTGCCACGTACCTACATCAAGGGCATGTGCAAAATGGTCGGCGCTCTCAAGGAAGCCTTCAACAGCAAAGAGTCCAGCTGGATAAAGGCGCCCGTCTCCACCGCAGCCACCTTTGAGGATGGCCTCTACGTCCATGCCGTGGTGGAGGCCATACGAAAGTCGAACGAAACACGCCAATGGCAGCGGGTCCAACTGAGCACAGATGCACCACTCAACCACGACCAGATCATTCGCTACGGATATGCGCGAATGTCTACCATGTGAATATACTGCGAATATTTATATAAGTTAAATATTTATTTATTGTATTGGCATTTATATTTTGCATTAAAAAAATATATACTGTTAAGCTTGTAAGATAAATATAAATTGAAAGTTACTAATACACACGTTTGTTGCTCTTCAAGTGTGCTGGGCCAAGATTGTACTTACATATATTGATTATATGGTAATCGGTCGAAACTCAGGACAAACATAGACTGCTGAAGAAGGCATTAAAAACGAATACAAACATTGCTATTTTTTTACAAATTTACCATTTTATTGATAGATATTAAAATTAACAGCCATATTCTATTTTACCATAGTATGCTCGAAACTCTCGAAACTAAATATTTATCTAACTTAAAGACTAAGACAGCAAACATTAAATATAATAAAAAGTTGCTTTTGTTGTGTTATCTTGACCTTTGTGGATGAATATGGGTTTAAATTGTGTATATATTTTGGCTTGACAATGTGGAAACCCCCCAAAAATTGATTTAATGGTATGCTGAATCCAAAAGTTTACTAGCGGCAAGCATTTCTAGTGTATAGTGTTATTAATAATTTAGTGGAACTATTAATATGAGGTTAATTTAATTTAAGATTTGCTTGTTCCTTTGGTATCTCAGCACTTAGAAAACTAACTAAACTCTATTTATAAAATGGAAAAACAAAATAAAATCCACGAAAACTACACCCTAAAGCCTGTTGTGTGCAATGTAGTTAAAGTTAAACAAACGTTTTAAATATTTGTAGCTAAATGTAAATAAATATTTAAGTTAAATATATTTTAAGCTACTTGGAATTTAAAATATTTAAAACAAATCGAATAAAAAAACGTAAGTTGCAATCGAGTGTAACCAACTGCTCAATACTCTGTTCCCAGAGTAATATATATATATATCTCTTTTGTAAGCTTTACTGATAGAAATGTGCATATTGGAATATTTTTGGCATGACATTCAAAGAGGTTCTTGATTAGTATGGACTCCCAGATATTGGTCTTGAACATATATGAACGTTTAATATACACTTACATTTACGTGGACAGACGGACCGACAGTTAGACAGACACTTAACAAAAGCAATACACTCTATTTCTCCATTTTGGGAACATCGTATGAATGCAAATAATAAACACCAGCTACAGACATATATACACTAAAAGACTATCTAATTGAATGAGAATACATATGCTCAAATACGCATCTCTTCTTATCGCTTATTTAGTTTGCGCCAGAGCGTTACCACCGTGAGCAGATGCATAACGCCAATCACAATGGCCATCAACAGGATGCAGTCGGACATGTGCACGTCGGAGATCATCATGTACTTGAGAAACACTTTGGGACTACGAAAATGACAGTACATAACACTATCGGGGCACTCCAGAAACGGGCGATCCATGCCGTAAATGGCATTCAGAGCACCGTGGAAACCAGCACGGAAATAACTCAAATGCCACATCCAACGGAACAGCGGCGTTATATCAATATACCTGGTGCAGAAGCCAAACACTGAGAACATCACAGCCAATATCGGACCCAAAAAGACGGCAAGCTAAATAAATACAAAAATATATCGATTAGTGATCAATCAGCGACATCAATTAATTTGAAGTACCTTCGTTGGCAGCGTGGCACCCACAAAGAAGCCCCAAGCTTGTGCACTGAGAGACGCCAATATGGCCAGCAGCATGAAGTAACAGATCCGGAAAGCGTCGACGCTGTCATTGTCCGTCAGATGTACGCTGATCATAATGTACAATGCCGTACATAAGCTCTATTGGAACAAGATTGTATAAATTAGAATAATGTTAACAAGGCTAAACCTACCCATTGCAAATGGGTATAATGATGTTGTGCCCTACTATGTAACAAACAGAAAGAACCAACGCCGATCCCATAACATATTTATATATGCTTGACTTAACTACATCTTATCGACAACGATTACCGTCTGGCGTACGTCGATCCAAATCAATTACCTTTCGAAATAATGAATCAAATGCAAAGATATTGTTTGCCATTCATATTTCTATATGTACTATGTACTACTAAACCATACTATCGATAAACTGTATACATTTTTTATAGATCACATAAAAATCACAATGTATTTTCGTAATCAACAAAACACTATCAGCAAACACAAGCAATTTCTGTATTTCTCTAAATATATATATATATATATATGTAGTAATTTTAGACACGTGTTGTCGTAATCTGGCTATTTTAGTTTGGGCAATAAAATCAGGCGCTGATCTCACTTAATTATGTGACACTTCGGTTTGAGTGCAAGTCATACAAATTGTAGAGGATTAACTATAATTAACTATAATTTCCACCATTTTAGTGTGCAAAGTAATTTAAATGCAAATTTGGCCCATTTACAACCTGTGCCTAAATCTATTCAATATGCTTAACAGCTGAGTTCAGGGTGCCTTTTAGTCAAGCTCTCTCGACTAGAGCATTCTTGTTTGTTTTAATTAAACATATGATTACGAAACAATAAGCATTTAAATACAAGTACGAATAGGTGCATTCTCAATTGCGCAATACTCTGTCATTTCCAATAATTACAAAAATATACGTAATAGCTATAATTACAAACAGCACAAAATAATAATTCTTTAATTAGAAATTGCTACAGAACGGCAAATTAAATATAAGTATCGATCGAGAGCGTTGATCAGTGTATAATATGTAATAATCTTATATACCAATTTGGGTTTTAAATTGTGAATTTCCCCCAGATTCTTAACCCCATTTTAAGGGGAAAGTTTGAGTTTTACATATTTCTACACCAGCTTATACTATATAATTAGAAATATGCCCTCGAGTGATGTGAATAGAAGAGAAACCTCATAATAATTGTAGTTGCTGAATGTGTCATGTTTTCGGGAACGGTTGTAACGATCGTGCAACAAATGAATTTTTCATTACTACACAGCCACACAGCTTAGGGTATTAGTTATAACTTGGATAGGTCACTGACGTAGGCAACTTTGTAGCCCAGTCACACGACATTCTCATTTATTTGTTTAAAATTTAAATTCTCCCACAACCGTAATGATGATTTGATCATCAAATGGCCAAACTTACTTGAAAGGGTATTTCGAAGGAGATCAGCGATAGAAAGTAGGGTCCCAGCTTGTACCAACGATTAAAATGTTCTCGAGTCAGCATATGAATGTGTAGCGGAACTGCAAAGACAGAATTAATATATTTATTAAACATTTGAAATCAATTATGGCAACGGATTAATAAGGCCCAAATAATTACAGATAATCAAACAAGAAAAATGTAAGGCTGCTCTAGCAATGAGTGCCCCACTTGAAGGCAGCATCTATTTAATGCAACTCTCGTTTTTACTTACATATATTAATAAATAATTAAAAATACCCACAAACGCACCCACAGTGAGTCAGCAGCGGCAGGCGTTGAATTAAAAACGGGGCCAACTCGTTTGTTTCCCCCGATTACAGCAACTATTACCACTGAGTCAGTTTGCTCGGGAAAAGCTGAACAGAATAGTTTATCTACATCTGAGGCGCTCTTGAATAAATATATCTGCACTTCATTGATAGAATGGGAATAGTTATGAAATGCATATTTAAAATTGTGTCTGGCTACAATTGCGATCAAGTGATGCTTAATATGCAAATCAAATCTCAAAGAATAGACAGACTAGATCTGCCTTTTGCTCTTTATATAAGTGGGATTCAGAGACTTATTTCATTAATCTTAAAGCTGATCTTAAGCTCCAGTTCTAATTTTCTTATTGCAATCAAGCTTCAATATATACTTGATGAGGTGGAAGATGCAGCTTTCTGCTGCTTACATGCAACTTCACAGCTTCATTTTAGTCGTTTAAGTCATGTTGAGTGGGACACAGGAAGACAAATAACCATTACATAATCAAATTCCAAAAATTACTACAGTGAAGCTACAGCCAATTGTTACCAGAATTACATAACTGCATTTGGGCAGCCTTACAAAAAGATACTTTGTTTGGTTTCTGGCTGCAGCTAACGAGTTGACAAAGTTGGCTGCCTCAAGAACAGGTCTCAACAAAGGGGCAAGCACCGCAATGAGAGACACTCATTTTTCTTAATGTATTCATTGTATGTGCATCTACTTACAGGTCAATACCACTGCCATTTTGCCGGTGTAGACCAAGAGCAGTATGGATCCATATAGGTAGACATAGTTGCCGAGCACAGATGTGGCGCTGTTGCCCACATTCATGTACAGGTAGCCGAAAATGATGCCGATGAAAACGTGCGAAAAGATGCGGGCCAACAACAGAAACTGCAAATAAAAAAATTGAAACAGGCATTACAAATATATTGTAACTTAACCCACTTAATACAACGATTATGCATCCACCAAAGAGGCTGCTAAAATGCCATTGCCATAATGTGCACCAAAGCAGCACTTGGTGTATTATCTGTGTGAAGGTTGCCCCGCCGTTGAAATTTGTATTTTCATTATGGCCACAGTTGAGTGGCCAACACAAACTCAGAACTCAGAACTCAGTGCAGCTAAGCTCCGCTCAGCTCAGCGCAGCTCAAGTCCCCTCCCCATATATGTAGACGTACATATTTATGTATTTAGCTCTGTCTGGCATGCACTTATGTGTAGATAGAACAACAAATCAATTTACAAGACGCTAACAGGCACTCAGAGGCAAAAGTCAACAAGCAAATGCGTTACCAATTGTGTGCAGGTAAATACAACAATATGTTCAGGTAGTCACACATTTACTTATTAGATTTGCTCGTTAAGCTGCCGTGTCGAATCTCGAGTCCTACATCGATTGCGATTCCACCCATCTTTCTGGTCAATGAGCACGGCTTTGAGCTGTCAGGTAATTTAATTACAATCTTCAATCATTTTACTGTGGAAAAGCATCGAATTGAATCGAAATGGCAGCAGGCTTGCTTATCTTTAATTATGCATTTAGTATAGATACTTTTACATTTTAATTTTATGCATCGTTGGCCTTGACCTGATTTTCATATGGCCAAGTTTTTGCTGTTATTGCGGTTGACAAGTTTCTGCTGGCTGTACTCACATAGTTGCGTCTGGCGCAGATCAAAATGAGCTTCATCAGCAGCAGATATTGCATAAGGAACGAAGCTGGAACGACGGGCTTAAGCTGCTCGTTGGGCTGATTGGCAAGCCCTTTAACTGGTGCTGTCTCATTGGCAAGTGGCTGCTCCGCTGTATCAATTGGTGCATTCAGCGCCCTGATCTCATCCAGTGCCAGCTCTTGTTGGGCGGGTTTAAAGTAACTGTAACTTGACAACTGATCCAGACTAACTTCGGGAAGCGCCTCAGACGATGCACTTCGTTGCTTGCCACCAATTGCGTCTGAAAATGAATCAAGTTTGCACTTAATAACTAGCTTCAATTAAAAATCCAATATAAACAAAGACAAGAGATATATTTATTTTCTGTTCCGTACCTTTTAAAGTTGTTATAATGTGCGACATATCTGCAGTGTTCAGTTGCCCTTTGGCATCCGCATAATACTTTGTATTCGCTGCTTCTATCAGATTATTAAGATCACACTGATGCTCTCCAACTGCCACTTCCAGCACTGTTTCAAATAAAATGCAAATTCAGGTTAGGCTTAAAGTACCTATATAAGGGGGAGGGGCACACATACTGAAATCCGCCGGATTGTGATAGCTGGGACACACGAGTTGCTGATCGGCAAGAAACGGCACCAGTTCCTTCACTCTGCCCTGGTACATGCAGTGTCCATCCACCACCGTATACAGCTTGTCGAACATCTCGAAGATTAGCGCGCTGGGCTGGTGAATCGTGCAGACTATCGTGTGGCCCTGGGAAGCCAGCTTCTTTAGCAGTGCCACGCACGAGCTGCATGAGGAGCTGTCCAAGCCACTGAAAATTTGCAAAGCGTGTGAAAATATATATAAGTGTTGGCCAAATGATGAATGAATTTGTATTGAGGACAAAGTGCAATGATAATGGGAGCAGATTAAAAACCGATTCTGGGTCAGGCTCATCCATCGTACCAGTGATGTTCCTAATCTAAGTCAGCAACGGAAAATTACCGAAAATCAAAATTTATGGCAAAACTGTCTAGCTGATACTGTATTTTATGTATTAAATTAATTATTAATTTTTAGCAACTCGCATTTCATTTATATAGGTCACAAAAGCATCAATTAGGTTAGCAAACCACATTTTCTTGTCTATAAGTTTAATATATATTTATTTTAGTTGAACTTTCTCAACTTAAACGCTTGCTTTTTTTTGCTAATCGCAAAGTTGAGTCAAGAAACTTAGGCTAAAAGATATATATATATATATTAATCTTATATCCAATAAATAAGTTTAATATTCATTTTTAGCTTATCTTTCTTAACTTCATTTTTTCCTTTTATTTTTGTATATACATTTTGTGTAAATTTATTTTAAATTTTTCAGTATTTGCAAATGACTTGCCAAATGCTGGAAAATAAGAACATTTTTTGAACTAAGAGATTATGAGCATGACTGGATTTTTGCATAAATAATTATTTAATGAGCGTTTCAAAATTATTTCATAGATAAGGATCCAGCTGTGTTCAGTTGATGTATGTACATATATTATACATATATCTAATATAAATAGCTATTCAAATTAAACTAAGCGATTTGCTACGCTTTTTGGTTTTAAAATGTTTTTGTTATTTCCCTTTGCATTTTTTAAGATTAATTTGTGCAAATAACTCGTACATTAATAATCCAAGCAAAATCAGTGAACCAAATAAATATACATTTATATATAATAATAATAATATATATGTTTGATTTAATCCATATATATTTAATTATGTACGTATTTATAGCAATCAGCGTAAAAGGCGCTGATAAGCCCAAGTTGCCTCCCCTTTTTGAATTTCCGTCTTGCTTAGACAATCGGTCATCTTAATTATTATTCATTAGTTGTCGCTTTGCATATCAGCTATCAACTTACGTTGTTGGCTCATCCAGATAGAGCACGGGCGGGTTGCTTATCAACTCCAAGGCAATCGCGAGTCGCTTTTTCTGTCCACCGGAAAGTTTGCCCGTGAGCACATTGTAGCGATGATCCAGACCCAACAGCGACAAGATGTGTTTAATCTAAAATAAAAATGCAAACAAAAACAAATTGCAAAACAGAGTTAGAAGGGTTTGGGTAATGTAGGCCTGTAAACCACATGTTGCAAATCATTGGATTACTTACCAAAGCCAGCTTGTCAGCTTTCTTCATGTCAAAGCCAAGTTTCAAGTGTGCCGCCATCAACATTATTTCGCTAACCATCAGCTGGGGACGCAGCAGATCATCCTGGTGAATGTAACACGACAGCTGACGAAATCTGTCCGAGCTGGTGGCCATCGGATTGCCATTGACTCGAATGTTGCCCGTGACTCCGGTGGTGCTGCAGAACGCAGAATGCAGAAAGCAGAATGCAGAAAGCAGAAAGCAGAACGAAGAGAAGACCCGACAAACAAGTTGAAATACAATTTATATGTGTATGGGTAATAAACTTAATGTAAGTTGACGTATGCAATTACACGCACACACACACAGACAGACAAGTTTCAAGTTCGTAGTTTAATGACCGATAAGCATAAACGGTAATAAGTGTGTACGCAAACTTATGGCGACTGCCTGGCGAAGAGATACCCTGTATTCCACATAGAGAAACGACTTTCGATTTACTTTTCATTTGCTGTTTGCATATTGTTGAGTTGAGATTCGAGATGTGTTCAGCAATTACTTTGTGCGACAAAGTGTAATAATGCTGTGCGTTATACAATAACAGAATTAATCTGATAAGTGGCTAAGGTTGTTTTGGACTTCGGATGCGTTTGCGCAGCTCACCGCTAATTAGTTGCGATAACGGAACTGTTTACTAACAGATCCGATTTATATTGTACAATTTCCCGCTTTGATTACTGAATCTAGCTGTTGACCCCTTCAGTTCATTGAGGACGGACGTCACACATGGCTCAAATTATTATATTTATAAGTTACGCAAGATGAATCATTTGTTATCGCCGAGCATTATAGCGAGAATGAGACACTAGAATCTTACTTACCAGAATCCTGACATAACATTCAGCAGTGTGCTCTTGCCGGCTCCGGAGGGACCCATAATAGCTGTCAGCTCACCCGATCGAAAGTTACCCTGCAGACCATGCAGAATCTCCTTGGTAACTGCGGAATGACGGCACATTTAAGGTCGCTACAAAAATGAATTATTATGCAATAATTATGCACTTACCAAACTTGCGTTCAGGAAACGAGAATTTGCGTATCTCATAGCGAACATTGGAGAACTCAATGTCCACCGGGTCACACTGAGCGAAATTGGCATGTGCAATTGCCTCGTGATAGTTGTGCAGTCGAAATGCGTTCAGATTGTTGTTGACTTTGGCAACAGACGTGGCCGAAACGGATGACCCAGATTCGCTTATCGATGTTTCCGAGCCGGCGGCCAAGCTGCAACAGTTTATGCCCAGACAGCCATTTTGTTGCTCCTTCAGACTGTCTCCGCAGCTGTGGGCACTGCTGCTGGCATCGCCGCCTCCCCCGCAACAGGTGGCGGCATCTGTGGCTTTGATATCTGGCAAGAGTGTCATCTATGGGAGTATATTGTGGAACAGAGTTCCCCTTTCAGTTCGCACAAATGTAGTTACTTCTTCACGGGCCGACTGTAAAACAAAAAGATAAAAAAGACAGGCAAAAAATGTTTAAATAAATAAATGACTACGCGTGTTTTAGTATGTGCTTAAAAAAATAATAATGCGTCTACTCATCGACCTGCAGGCCAGACGAATTATATTATAAACATTTTAATGTACACATATAATTAGCACATTTCCGCTGCGAGACAATCAAAAAACTAATCTTCAAATATATCCGTCGTACGTCGAACTGTGACTTTATTGACATTAGGGTAAGTCACTTTAAGATAGCAATTTCTATAGTAATTTGCGAGTCGTTCTTTGAAGGAGGTCATCAACAATCTACATTCCAAGATCTAAAACTGCTGCAAATTTATATTCATATATAAATATAGATTGCATCTACAAATTATAAAAAATAACTTGAAGCTAATTAATAATTATATTTGGCTCTCTTTCCCCTCTGGCTCTTAGCGACAGTTTCTCTGTGCTTCTCGTTATATTTTTCTCACATTTTAATTAATAATTTGACATTATTGTAAAAACTGGTTAAGTTGTAATTTATATTCACATCAAACATAAATCTTTTTATTTGCATATTGGCTAGGCACTCTCGAGTTACTTGCAAAATAAATAATAAATGTTTAGCAAGTGTTAATTTGCGTATTATTGACATAGGTCAGTTAACGCTACAAATAAGAAAGGCAGCTTTATATATATATATAAACAAGACGTTCAAAATACTTGTTTCAATTTGTATACATAATATCAATATGATTATTTAATTTGTTATTACCCAATCAACGTAAATCGAAGAGGGCAGAAATGTGTTTCATACGGGGAATTCATTCATTTTGCTATGCATATTTTATCAAAGCTTTGCTACTTCTCAACGTAAACTTTTTATTAGTTTTTAATGTGCTCCCACCATAAAAAAAGATGAGATTAACTATGTGTTAGAAGTGTTTAAGTGTACATTATTATCATCATGATTATCGTTATGGCGACATGCATTTACTGCTTTTAATCTCGGCGATTCTTAAAACTGATATTGACTTTGTTGTCAATTAAAAATCAAAAAGCCGATAGCCGAAAACCAGTTTGAAAAAGCCGCCGAAACCGGATAAAAGAGTCATGAAAAATAATAAATTGTTGTCGTAAATTACATTAAAAGGGGTGTGCCAAACAATTGCCACCAGGCCAAAGCCAAAGAAAACCGTCTGGCCAACAATCTGGCATGGAATCGATTCGGAATGCGCCAACAACATGTCAATATTTACATGCGTGTACTCAAGTTGCGTTTACACTGACGCATATTTCAAAATAAATTGCAAAAAAAAAAGCAACTAGAAGGGCACGACTAGCAGCTACCCTGCAATCACTAGGCATACACAGCCTTGGCAATTATGCGAGACTCCAACTCTTGCCGCATATGCTACAGAAGCCAATCGATTGTTGCATGTTTGAGTACATTTTAAGTGCAGTTTGCTTAAAAAATCATTAATTGAATCAATGCCAATTGAACTTGTCACTCGCGTCGTTAAGGTTTCGTGGCTGATCGTTGTGCCACAAATATGATTTATGTAGGCTTGTACATTTTAAAATCGGTACTAGAAGAAAATATTTTAAATAAATATGAATTGAATTTATAATTGTAAGATCTGAGTTGAATAGGGAGTTTGGTACCCCTTAAATTACAGCAGGACTAACATATTCTCTGTACACAGATACTCAACCACAGAGCAATTGGTATGCACGACCATTAAGTGATCTTTGGGGTCGTCAACCATCTCGGCGGGTTCGTTAGCCGAATAACAGCCAGGTGGCGTCTTCTCACACCTTTTATGGAGCCTACCCATCAATGAAGTGAATCACATAGGTGATCATTGCTCTCTCGTTAATGTGAAGTAATAAATACCTTTTCCAGAATATGTGGCTTTGTCCCTTTGCAGAACAAAACGTACATGTGTTATTCAAATATTATGTATTTGACCCCTAGAATCAAACATGCGATACAGAATAAATGACGTCGTCAAGGTCAGCACGTGGCGATCGAGTTAAAACATGTTGAAAGCGAACTTTTTCATGAGGGATCAAGAACCAGTGCCACGATCAAAAATGTGTTTGTATATATGTATATATATATATATATTTATATTATAATATATTTATATATTTTTAGATTTATATATTTACATACAAACGCACACACATATTCATCAATTTTTCATGTTTCCTAGTCATTTGAAGCAAAATACTGGAGCAAGTAGCCGGTTTTGGATTTGAAATGAGGGTAAGCAAAATCAAAATAGAAAAAATGTGTGTGTAACCAACAACGCAATACTTTGGAACACAGCTAATAAACATAAAATTTACTTTTTAATTATGAGGTTAGTGATCCTTCAACACTTTAAGCTCTACAACTGCGAAAAATCATAATATATCCCTGGTTAGCAACAGCAACAAAAAATCCCTTTTCTGATGCGACTCCACTCCATACGACCATACGAGATACTTTCCTCTCTAGTGCGAACAGAGTAACAACGCAGCATACGTATATCAGATCTTCGTATTCTAGGAACAATTTATGTTCTCTTACATGGCTTTTCACGAACGAAAATGCGACTGCGCATAATCAGAGAGCGACAGAGAATGAAAAGTGGGAGCAATAGATAAACAGACGGAAAGACGGACAGACACGAGTGGCCTAATTTGGAGTTGTGTTGTGTGGAGCTACGTTTGAACAGATCATGGGCAACAAATACAAACAAAATCTTCACTGCTCGTTCTCTCTCTCTCTCTGTCTGACACAATTACGCTCCAAAGACCCCAAAGAGCTTACTTACTTACTCTCTATCTCTCTCTCTCTCTCTCTCTCTCTCCCAGTTAGATGTGTTCTACATGAATTTGGGTGTTAGAGCGGTCAAGTAAACGAACCTGTTGGTTTGGCTATAGTTGCTGTAGTCTGCTGTTGCTTATCGCTTGTTTCGTAGACTGCAGTTGTTGTGTTTGTTTTGATTTCGGTTTTTGGTAGTAACAATGATGACAAAAAGGATTGCACGTTAAGTTCAAATAAATAACAACGTAAAAACACAAACACTTAATTTATGAATAAAAGGCATGTAAAAATAGACATGCAGACCTCTGTCTATTTTAAATAAGCATTGAGGACTTGCACTTAACACGCGATCGTCGCAGACAGCATTTGAATAATTTGATATTGGACTCGTGTGAATTTCGTTTGTAATTTTGAGCGGCAATTCTTTTGTGTTTGGCTGTCAGCCATCTCCGTTACACTTGAATTGCAGCAAATTCATTTATTTACGCACGCACAAATACAGAGATATATGATTGTGTGCTCTTAACTGAAATTTACATTAATATGGAAGCGAACAAAGGCTTATTATGAACCGAAGCTTCTTGGCGTACTATGTACATATGTACGTAGGTATATATGTACATATAACAAATGCAATTGCCTCCTTTGATATTGTTGTCATTCGTTGTCGCTTTCTTCGCTTTGAGGCCCGTTCTTCGTTGAACTTATGCAGATCGACGACGCGTAAATGAATTTTAATTGTGCACCCATACACAGTACATTATTTACTTTTGTGCTTTTCACTTTGGCACGCCTCCGTCGGTTTAATACACGTTCCACATCAGCCGCTTGCTGCCGTTGAACTAAAGAACTCGCTCCCAGCGGCTTATTATTATAGCACTGCCAGCTAACTCAGTCCAGATGCTCGCTCAGCTGTGCCGGCATACAATGGAGCCAAATTCACTCCAGCGAGTGTAAAACAATCTCGATTCGAGAGAGCTCAATAAGGAGATACGCTAGACACATTCATTTGACCTCTTTATATATACAATGAGACCTTTCAACTTAAGTTCAATACAATACAAAATACAAATTGTATAAAAACAAACAAATTATATATATATACATATATGTCGTGTATAATAAGCTTTCTTTGTGTGTTCGAATCGTTTGAGATTTTCCTAGTCTTCTTTTGTATAATCAAAACAATTTGAGACTCAAATTAGACAAGAATACCCACTGTGCAACGGAAGTGATCAAAATTTGTTGCTCTCTATCTCTCCCTCTCTGTCTGTGTAGTTTGCTCGCTCTCTCGTCGGTTCTCTCCCGGGCCGGGTCTTGTAAAGTTTTACGTTATATTCGAGCTGTTCCGTTGTTTGCAAATCATAATTTAAAATTTTGAATGTTTCTGGTCTTAAAATATGTGTGTAAGCATATTTATGTACATACATAACTTAAAATTGCACTGACTGTAATAGCAATGACCTCCATTTGTGTATCCATTAAAACTGGGCAAAAAGAGTATGCATAATAAGTTATGAAATTGTATAAAAATATGCAATAGGACTATATGATTAATATATGTATATGTAGTCATCCATTACACATGTATAATATGGATGTAACACACAATGTATGTTTGCCAACAAAATATAAATCATTGGGAATTTTTTTTCTCTTTTTGTTGTGGTTTTTTATTTCATGCGACCGGCAATTAACGTCATAGTTTTTACCGTGGTCGTCTAGATGCGTACACAGCGCAGAGTTTCCCCAATGGCTTTTTTACACTTGAGCGTAATCTCCACTTGCACTTAACACTTTTTTTACGTATACTGCTTGAGCTACCAATTGATAATAAACCCACCAAACCAACCGTTGAAGCTATAAAGCTAAAATTTCCAAATCTGAGGTAATCACAATGCAGAAAGCAATGAGTTTTTCACATTTAATATTTAATATACTAGATTCAGCGAAGATTTTCACATTCAAATAAAATAGCGAACTGTAAAATCAGTAAGAAATATCTGGTCCATAAAATATATCTTATTCAAAACTATTAACTTTTATTATTTCGTTACCAGACTTTAGACGGATATTGTAAATCGCATTGAAGTTACATTGTTCAATGTAAATTAGGATCAAGAATGTTAAATGTCATGATTTGTGGATAATTGAATAATTAAATAATAAAAAGTAAGGCTTAACATTTTTAGTTGTTTTATGTAAATCGAATGTGATTATCCCAGTTGCACAGTTGACTGATCAATTGGCTAATTTGTCGTAAGCCTATTAGACGTAAAATCAATAACACTAGATAACAAACTATTATTACTTAATTACAACTTACTTTATACAACAAACAAGTATCGGTTGTTTGATGTTAAGCACTCTGTTGGCTAGTGTAATTTGTTGAGCTATTTGGTTGTGTTGTGTTATGCATGGCATGTCAAACGGTTCTCTGATCTGTTGGCACATTGAACCAAAGTATAAATAGGGTTCGCCTAACTGCCAATTAGATTCTAATGAAGCCGGCAACAATTTTGTGAAAGCAATTTGTGACCGCAATTAATATAACTAAATTATTCCATGCAAAGCCCAACATTAGCGCAAATATAAACCGTCCTCTAATTTTACATTTCAGTTTTTAATGCGCAAAAATATGGTTATTTACTTAAGGTAAGTCACGACTGCGATCACATTTTACAGTTTTCAAAGCTGAACCAGTCGGAAATACACAAGTTAATTATATTTTCTTATCTTGAAACATTTAAAAGGGGTATAATTAAGTTGAGGAAATGTTTCGAGCATCTTTGACCCCTTTTCAAGTGTAAAATTATTATTTCTGGATGTGAGCTTATTCAATTCCAGTGTTTTATTGCAAGCTTAATCAGTTAAGGAGATTCAATCAAATATGCGTAAATTTTCAGATGCACATTTAAACTCGGAAGCAAAATTAGGATACATTTTGAAAGAGGTTGGCGGTTTGAATATGGAGAATGGAAATTTTTTTATTAGCCAGTATTATTTGTTTTTCTTCACCGAAGTGATGAGAATTATAATATAATGTGTAGCGAGAGCTCTATATTTATATAGTATGTTCTTATTATTATACAATGTACCTCGTTTTCAGATAAGAAATAAAAAGATGCTTTAAATTACACATTATAACAACAACTATAGTCATTTCTTTGTATGCTTAAGCTGATAACACCTGACATGAGGCTGCTGCGTGTAAATCCTAAACAATTTGTCATATGCATTTCACAAAAGATAATCTTATATACATATAATATTATATATATATATATATATATATATATATATATATATATATATAATGCACATATATCTATATGAGAAGTACAGAAGTATATATTGTACACAGTCATTCTCACAATTGTATGTTAATAGAATATAATAAGAGAAGCAAAGAGGTCAGTGGGTTCAACGCCAGTTATGAGTATGAACATAACTTTAAGCTCATTTGCGAGAAGTGATCAAAAAGTTGCCAAAAACTAACTAAATTTGCAAAAGAAATGCAAAGCAAAGCAGCATTTAATTCGTTCATTCCCACTTAAATTCGCAACAAAATACGCAAAACGCCAACTGTTTTTTAATTAGCTTTATATACATATATATATATACACTTGTACCTGACGTGTATATATATGCCATTCAGTCAGCCATTATCAATCGAGTGGAGCAGTGGGTAAAAATGGACAGATCATTTGGTCACTAATTAATCCATATGGCGAATCAATTGATATGCAAACAACACCATCGCCAGTCTCAATGGACGATACGAGAGGGAAGGGCTACAGACACATACATAAATACATATATATATATATATGTATATATAAACATATACCTACATAGACCTGACGTTGAATGAAGTGAAATACGAGTAGCTAAGTCCATAAGAGTTTGTTGGGAGTAAACGACGAGCACAAAAGAATATATTAAATACACCTTTGGGTTATATGATTAAGATGTCGGGAATCTTATCCCCTATTTAGCAGAGAATATACTTCATAAAATTGGCCCACCATTCAATAAAAAGAACAGGCTCATTTATTTGTTTGCTGTATTTGCTAGAGTAACAAAACCTTTAAATCGTTAACTAATCAGCAGGCATTTGTTTGACTACAAAATTAAGAAAAATCATCCCTAAAACATAGAATTCATTGCCTAACTTTTATTGTAAATTGAATAAAGTTGGTAGAAGTAGTAGACAATTCTAGGGCACTTTCAAGATTTGTATGTGCACATTAATTAATTGATCACGATCAATGAATATTTTTGTTTCATAAGACGTTAACGACAAATTGTTAATAGGTAAACAAATTAGAAACAAATTAAATTTGCATAATCATGAGGAAAATCAGTGTTTGTTGCCACATTATAATACAGCTGAATATTTTTTTTCACTTTGTCTGTCGCTCTAACAAAGTTGAATTACTGCTAAATTTTATTTCTTAATTTCATTTTGGATATTTATAAGTGATATTTCCGATCAAATTGGCTATCACAAAATTATCGGGGAAGTACATATGTATATAGGCATGATTCCGACTAAAAACAAACGATTCAGTTGTTTCTTGATTAATTTCTTAATATATTTATACTCAGCCTTATTTGTCTTGTTAAAAAGGTTTTGTTTTTTGTTTGTTTTTTTTTTTTGTTAACGATATTTGGGTATGTTGAATACAAGCAGACATTCAAATATGTCTACTCATGATATTCCACTTCAATCAAGGAGTGAATCTTATTTCTTACATTAAGCTGCGTGACTTTCATTGGCCCATAAACAAAGTCTCGAGCCAACGAAACGCGTCGGACCGGAAGCCAAGACACCTTTGACGTAAGAACGATTCAATCGTTCAGTATTCAGCACAGGCGTAAGACTAGTCAATCCCGGGCTATTGAATGAGCAGCAGCAAGTGCCGACGGTGAATCGTATGATCTGTAAAGACCCAAAATATATACAACAGAAGATACAATTTACATACATATTACATATTTATGCATATAAGCGGGATGCGACAATCGCAGGTATGAATTATAGTCGAAAATTGAATTTGGCTAATCAAAAATCCTTATTTTATTGTGTAGCCAATCTCCACACTATCAAGGCAAAGCATAGGCTTTGGATTAGCCAGCAGTCATTGCAAAAAACCAATGGGGTATCAAAGTCCTGGCCCCACATTTGCAATCGTAATCAACAGCTGCAACATTTCCAGGGTGAACCTTCGTCGGGTGCGGAAAACAATAATAGGATCAAGTGCATGGCTGAGTATATATTAGTGTTATCATAAAACTACGACAGCCAGTCAGTGCTCAGTCATAAACTTGACCAATATTGGAGAATTGAATACTGCGCCACACAACAAACACAAAAAAACCGCAGTAATCACTTACAAGTTAGTGTCGGCATGATAAGCGTTTTATCCCAAGCTAGTGGCAATTGCAAAAACCCACACATTTAATTAAATGGCAGCTGACGATAGTCATTTTATGAACAATGGGATGATTTATTAGAGAGGCGTTTACTAGTATCGCTGATATCAATAAACTGCACACAGAACATATGTTTGTACGTATATGAAAATATATATATATATTTCAGGGATCTGCTCTGGTAAAACTCACACAGTCGAGATCATACTGAAGATAAGATATTGACGAACTTATGCACAAACAAAGCGATCGATTGAACGAATTCTTACTGTATTTACCCAACAGAAACAAAATGATTTCAGTATTATTAGCACACACCAGTAATTGTAATATCACTTTAATTAATAAAGCGCACAGAACAAACCCGAAGTGCCAGCGCTAGCACTAAAAATATAACTAAGCCATACAAATGGAGAACAATAAACGAAAACACAGCACTATCGCAGAGGGTGAAAACTTGAAAGGTGGTTGAAATACGCACACTTCTTTATTTGCCTTCATGTCGCGCCACTTACTGAAATTTTCAAATTCCAGACTGTTAAGACTACTTCTGCGCAAGTTGGCAGTGACAGATGGCAGCTCTGCGACGATTAGTGAAGTGCTTATCGATAGATCGATAGATTGTGCAATCGGGTTTTGTTATTAAATAAAAGCAACGTGATGAAAATCTCACGTTTCAAAAAGTCGCACAAAACTCTTGTGTTTTTTGCCACAAACTTTGATTATCGCGAGCCATACCAGGTGCTGATTGACGCCACCTTCTGCCAGGCCGCCCTACAGGTGAGTAAGCACGTCCTTAAGTGTGTCAGCAAGTCACAATTATAAAGCACACTTTTCGTAATTCAGCACAAAATTGGCATTGAGGAGCAGATTAAGAAATACTTTCAATGCAATGTTAAACTCCTGACTACCCAATGCGTCATTCTGGAGGCGGAGGCGCTTGGAGCTGCGCTGACGGGCGCCATAACAATTGTGAAACAGTTCCATGTGCACAAATGCGGCCATGAAGGCAAACCCGTATCGGCAGCGGAGTGTCTCAAATCAATGGTAAGCAGGAGAGATTCACAGATTCATCCAACATCAAGTGCAATCGAGTCCAATTGCAGACAAAAGACAATCGTTATATAGTCGCCTCCCAAGATCGTCTGCTGCAGGCAAGTCTGCGCAAGGTGCCCGGCCGCTGTCTGCTCTACCTACACAAGGCGACGCCCGTTCTGGAAGCGCCCTCGGACGCATCTAAGAAATGGGTGCAGAAGCGTGCCAAGAATCTGATGCTTGGGAAACAGGCGGACAAAATCGAGTACATGAAGGAGAAGCAAGGCCTAAAGCCGACAGAGCCAACAACAGTTAATCAAAAGAAATCCAAGGGCTGCAAGAATCCAAATCCTCTGTCCTGCAAAAAGAGCAAAAAGCAGAAGCCCATCTTGCATAGCGTGGAGCAGTCAACACTGAGCAAAGCCAAAAGAAAACGTGTCAAGATTGCGGCGCATGTTAAAGCCGCACTAGGCGCAAATCAATAGATTAATTATAGTTAAACTTCAAGTCTTTATATTATTGTACATTTGTTTCAAGTGTTCAAAATGTAGGTATGTGTATAGGACGTTCACGTAAGGGGTGCAGGGACAGCTGCACCACATCTTTTAATCTTTTTAATCGGATGCGCATGTTAATAATAACACTTGACCCACACACCTCTCGGAACGCCCTTCTACACAATATATATTGTGTATGTATTTGTATAATGATTACAATTTACCTTCGCGAATATTGTTCAGCCTCTTCTCGGTCATAAAATGTCCGATGATTTTGGTAAGCGTCGGATTGCGTGCACAATAAGCTAACGCATTGACGGGGAACAAGCCACACCAGGTGACATCCATTTTGTTGGCCAATGCGACGGCAAAGAGCCAGCCGCAACGCTTCGCAGTCAGACGCTTCTGGTTGGCCGTGCTGCCGCCAAGCTTGCGACCATCGGTTCCCGTGAATGCCTCCAGCAGAAAGTCGGTGGCAATCGGTCCCGGGGCAAAGATCGTCACATCTAGTTTGCGCTGCTCCACTTTCAATGCGCTCAGGTAGGCATTCAACGCATGTTTCGCCGCGCAATATGTGGCCGAGAATGGAACCGGCGAGAAGCCAGCTATACTGGACGTGGCTGCAATGTGGCCCCGTCCCCCATTCTGTTCCAGAAAGTAGCGCACCACAATACGCGACAAGTGAATCACGGAAAACACGTCCAGCTCGAAGAGATCTCGATCCACCTGAATCTCGATTTCCGTCCAGTTGGCGCGTTGCGAACGACCCGCATTGTTTACCAGCACGTCCAGACGATCGAAGTGATTGAGCACCGTGTACAGATGGGATTGATGATTCTCCAGCTGCAACATGTCCATGGGCAATATGAGCACATCATTCTGCGCTAGGAGTCCGCGTGCCGCTTCCAGGCATTCGGCTTGAACGTCCTCCAGCTGCTTGACACGTCGGGCACTCAGCACCAGACGCACTCCATGCCGTGCCAGGCTGACCGCCAGAGCGCGTCCAATGCCGCTCGAGGCGCCCGTTATCCAAACCACCTGTCCGCGCATGGTCGACAACGAGACGCCAAAGCGCGATTTGTACCACAGTGACACATTGCAATCGAGAAGGATCCAGAGCACAATATAGCCAACATAATAGAGCACCAGCAGAATGAGTAAAAATTCTAAAAATGTCATATTTTGGAACTTTGCACGTAGGCGTAATTTGTACGTCTGTGAAAATTCGACAGTAAAAAAAGTATCGTTACAATGCAAACAACGCTAATCAGCTGATTTACTCGCCCATCATCGATTACAGATGCCCAAGAAGGAATCAGCGAGGAGAACGAGTAAAGCGAAACAAGATCCGCAAAAATTATCGTCTGCGGCAGATAACAGCTTCACGAGAGTGACCGACTAGCAAATACCCAGCACTAAGTTCTCAATACTATGCATATTCAGTTCTACAAATTCTGCTGTCAAAATTCGTTATAGCTTAAATTGTAATCAGTGTATTCAGATTAAAACCAAAAGTGTTTGCTCAAAATTTCGAATGTAAGTAATTAATTCTATGATTTTATCACGCTTGCAACACGCTGCCCAGATTGCCGCAGATCTTGTCGATTTCCGCATAGCCCGCATGCTCCAGTGTCATTATGGCATTGGCCAATCCCACAGTCTCTCGAGTCGAGTGCGCCTTCACCCAGATGCGTCCGTTGACGCCCACGGCTATTTCGTAGGGCAGTTCATCCTTGATCGCCGCCAGTGCTGGACAGCTGTCTCGCAAGAGTAGTCGTCCCAGATTCAGACTGCACTTGAAGAAGAAGCCATCTTGCAGCACGCCCAGCTTGCCATGCTTCCCATTCGAGTTAACGCACACCAGCTCCGGCTCAATGTCCGCATTGGCGTTGAGCACACGGGCGTAGAGCAGATCGCCCGGATTGAGATCGGGTCGATTCTTCTTTGTGGCCGCCTCGAATGCCAGATACGATATGGAGGCCGTGTCCGCCGATCCAATGTCCACGCGATACATGTCGCCGGCCCTAGCCTTGACAATTCCAATGATTAGGTCTCCACGCGCCGGCACATAACGGCGCTGATAACTGTCTACCCAGAAGGTGTTGGGTTCCTTGTGGCGCAGAGGGCCCGCCTTGCTGGCCACAACTTTGTCGTCCACTCTGCGCAGTCCCGGACCCAGTATGATTCGCTTGCCCTTGGCCACATCTTCCACAGATGTGACACGTTCGCCGGGCATAACAATACTTGTATTTGCAGACATAATAACAAAACAATAATCGTGCCGGCCGCGTGTTCTTCGGTTTGTTGATATTCTATCGATATATCGATATATTTATGAAATGCATTTCGGCAGTGCTGGTAAACGTCAGCAAATTGGGAATGTTAAGAAATTTCTCTTTGCTTCTATTCAGTTTTCTTTTGTTTATTTTTAACATGTGTAAAGCTAATAGTTTTTCTCCCAAAAGCTTTTCCAGCTTGCCTGCAAATGAGGACCATATGTGGATGCCATTACGTCTAACCTTGTTTGAAGGTCAATTCGGATACATATATCCCTATAGAGATACCGGTACGCAGCCTACGCTCACAACTTTCATCCACCAAAAGTCCGCCTGGAGAACGCGTACTCATTCGCTGAAGCAGTTTACGTTCCACAATCCACAACAACAATGGCAGCCATTTTCGTCTCGCGCGCTCTACGTGTGTATTCCCCACTGCATTTGTCGTTCCCGACCTCACAGCAATCAAATCAAAAAAATTCGCTCGGTGTCTCATCGCGTAGCGCGACAACTGCGTTCAGTAGCAATTCAGCCAGCAAAGCCGGAAGCTCAAAAAAGTCGCTGTCGTCTGGACTTCAATTTCTGAAATTTAAAAGTTCTTGGTATGTATAAGTGTGTGTATGAAATTTGGATTTGCGGTTTCATATGCTATTATTTACCTTTCATTTTTATTTTATTTTTTGCACTGACTAAAGTATATGAGCGCAGTAAATTCTAGAGTTATCTAACAAATTTTATTACGTGCCGATGTACATACTAAAGAAAAAAAAATATATATATATAGATTTACCGCTGTATATGTATTTTATTAGATTGCATTGGGCGCTTAGTTTAGTTAAATAACTACAAAAAAAGTGCAATTATATGCAATAATTATGAAAATTTTGTTACTTCGGAACTGTTTCGCTTGGATTTCGTTATTTGTTCCTCACTTTCGCAATGACCTTTAAGCGGTGCGCAGAGGTCATACATACAAACGCTGAGCGGCTGCTTTTCTCTCCTGCTCGGCGCTGATGAAAATGTAATTCGGTTTAGGAAAGTTTCACTCGATTAATGCTTTTATTAAAATTGATTACGGAAAGAATAAAATGTTAGCAATTGAATTAACTTATTTGTTTCTAACTTAAGACAGCTGGTCACGTATCAAAACTTTTCTTGAATCTTTTGCGGCACATTCTTCTAAATCTAAAAAAAAACATTTAGTAATACCTATACATAATTTAATCTATATATATATATATAAATACATATAGAAAGAACGTTCTGGAGAGAATTCGGGAACATTCTCTTTTATAAATTTATATTTTTAATGTTTAATGTTCGATGTTTTGGTTGCAGTTCCAACGGTATCAACATGACCATCAAGTCGATCAAAGCACGTCAGATCTACGATTCGCGTGGCAATCCCACCGTCGAGGTCGATTTAACCACCGAGTTGGGTCTGTTCCGTGCCGCGGTGCCCTCAGGTGCTTCGACCGGTGTGCATGAGGCACTGGAGCTGCGCGATGGCGACAAGGCCAATTACCACGGCAAGTCCGTGCTGAAGGCTGTTGGCCATGTGAACGACACTCTCGCTCCAGAGGTGATCAAGGCCAATCTGGATGAGACCGATCAGGCTGCCATCGATAATTTCATGATCAAGTTGGATGGCACCGAGAACAAGAGCAAGTTCGGCGCCAATGCCATTCTTGGTGTTTCTCTGGCTGTGGCCAAGGCTGGCGCTGCCAAGAAGAATGTGCCACTATACAAACACATTGCTGATCTGGCTGGCAACAAGAATATCATATTGCCCGTGCCCGCCTTCAATGTGATCAACGGCGGCAGCCATGCTGGCAACAAGCTGGCCATGCAGGAGTTCATGATCCTGCCAACTGGTGCCACCAGCTTCACCGAGGCTATGAAAATGGGCTCCGAGGTGTACCATCATCTGAAGAACGTGATCAAGGCTAAGTTCGGTCTGGATGCTACCGCAGTGGGTGATGAGGGTGGCTTTGCTCCCAACATTCAGTCCAACAAGGAGGCTCTCTCCCTGATCAGCGATGCCATCGCCAAGGCTGGCTATACCGGCAAGGTGAGCAATTGGTCAATTAGTTAAGCAGCTTGCAACTGAAGTTAAAATAATTAAATTTTATATTCTAATAGATTGAGATCGGCATGGATGTTGCCGCGTCAGAGTTCTTCAGGGATGGCCAGTACGATCTGGACTTCAAGAACCCACAGAGTGATAAGGCTCAATGGCTGTCGCCCGAGAAGCTTGCTAACTTGTATCAGGAGTTCATCAAGGATTTCCCCATTGTGTCCATTGAGGATCCCTTCGATCAGGACCATTGGGATGCCTGGACCAATCTGACCGGTAACACCAAGATCCAGATTGTTGGTGACGATTTGACCGTTACAAACCCCAAGCGCATTGCCACCGCTGTTGAGAAGAAGGCCTGCAACTGTCTGTTGCTGAAGGTTAACCAGATCGGCACAGTCACCGAGTCCATTCAGGCCCATCTGCTGGCCAAGAAGAATGGCTGGGGCACCATGGTCTCTCATCGTTCGGGTGAAACCGAGGACTCGTTCATCGGTGACCTGGTTGTCGGTCTCTCCACTGGCCAGATCAAGACTGGCGCTCCATGCCGCTCGGAGCGTCTGGCCAAATACAACCAGATTCTGCGTATTGAGGAGGAGATTGGCCAGGGCGTCAAGTTCGCTGGCAAGAGCTTCAGGAATCCACAATAAACGTCGCTTCTTATAAATTCCAACAGCACCAAGCACCCATCCGAATAAAAACCCACAGCTGCAGAAGCATGTGAATGGTGTCAATTTGGTGTACGTGTTCGTCAACCCTTAGATATGTGTCTGGCGCACAAAAGCAACCCATTCATAATATTCAATAATATTGCTTCGTTATTTAGACATTATGATTACTGTTACCATTACTATGATCTATTCATTATTATAAACGCATGCATGATCTACATGAAGTATATTTAACAGTTGAACTGTCTCTATAGATTGTAAACCCAAACATCACTGTAATATTGTAATTTGGATTGACCCACACTACCCTCTTTGCCATTTGTAATCAAAATGCAATGCGGTCAAAGACATATTCTGGAAATATCAAATTGTTCAACTCAATAAAGCAGCGAATATGAAATGCTCTAATACCCAACATAAAAACCGATCGCACCAAACTTTAATTCAAAGTGTTAATAGATGTGAAATAAATATTGTTGAATGTATTCAAACCAAATTGAAATTTCACTTTTTTGCGTTGGGATCACGAATGGGGAAGCATCCAAATTATGATGCATACTTTTAAGAGGTGACAAATAATTATGCAAGCTAATTTTGGGAATCAAAATTTATAAAGAATATTTTTAGGCAGTCGGTTGACCAAGACTTTATATGTTCAGAAAAGCACTGCCTACTGCAAGGTGCGCTATGATCACAGATCAATTCTATCGCCTGGCACTCAATGGGGAAGCATCGAAAAATATGATGCATACTTTTAGGGTGTGGCAAATAATGATGCAAACTAATTTATGGCAATCAAAATTTATAAAGCCTAAAGCACAAAGCGGTTGACCAAGACTATTTATTTGTTTAGAAAAGTACTGCCTATTGCAAGGTGAGCTATGATCACAGACATCAATTCTATCGCCTGGCACTCAAGGATTTTGGGGTCATCGTAGAACCAAAACACTTGGGAAATTTTCACTCGCAGCGCGAATGAGTTTGAGCCGATATCAGAAAATATTTGTTTTCTCGGAAATTATGGGGACGAATTGGTCTTTTGATATATAGCGCTCGAGTATTTGCAAGAATATAAGTGAGTTATGAGCGATTTGTTTTTGTTTGCTTTATTTCTACTGTTTGAAGGACAAAGTTATGTCGGATTTTTTGATTATTCACATTATTTCTGAACTCTGTGTAATTTTTAGACCCATTTTTTCTACAAATCTGGAAATTATTGACTGCAGATCGATAGTCCTGTGAGCACAAAGACAGGGGTGCTTTCGAGACCCTTCAGAATATGGCCGGATTACGGATTAAAACCCCATGTTCTTTTGGATGTAAATATCAAAGTAGACGGAAAAGACCGAAGGATATTCGGAAACCCAGCCCAATGCCGTATATACGGTCAAGTTTACATACACATATATTTATATAAAATCAGTGTCAATTTATTGTTTCATAACGTTTAACTAACTACATTAAAATACTCATTCAACATTTAACAAAACTGAAAGCTTTTCGAATGTACTTAAAATCTATGCCTGCCATTATAAAGTGATGTTAAAAATGTAACAGTAAGATGTGTGATTAAAAATAGTTTAGCACAAGTGAGAGCTAATAGAGATTGTTTAAAAACTATAAACTAAGGCACCGAATTCGTTGCGATCGCAATGGGCCAAGTCGTTGGTCCCTTGAGCAGGATATCCTCCAGGGCATTCTTGACTTTGATGAAACGACGCTTGAACTCCAAGCCGCAGCCCTTGGACAGACGGAAGTCGACGAGTATCTTGCCGTCCATTTCAATGATGTGCGCCTTGAAGACCAAGCGCAACTTTCGCCTATCAATCGTGGAGATGGTCACCACGCCCTCATCACTAACTTTGCACGTATAGCCGCCCAGTCGCTCAATGGTGCCCACCAGCCTCTTGATCGTATCGTCCCAGCGCGTCGTCACAAAGAAGCGCGTCATGCGCCGCACCAAGCGCTGGAAGTAGTTCTGCGATGCGTTCTGCGTCTGATTCATTTGGGTGGCCAGCAGCAGATCATCCAGCATCGCCGGCTGCGAGAAGCAGTAGGTGAGACGTGCCTCCTGCGCCAGCGTCTGTCTGGCCTCGTCCACCTGCCCATCTTCGTCGCTGCGCATTGTGGGCATGGGCTGTGAACAATAGTTGCGTGACACCGAATCATCCAGGTTATTGCAGAGATGTGCACTGGACTGCAGTCGCTGCCTCTTGGCCTTCGGCGAGCAAATCTCCATGGCGGCCGCCGAGTCAACCAAATCATAGGAACGATCTGCAAGAGGGGAGGGGTGAACAACCATCATTAATTCAATTCAGTCGAAATTGAGCATTCAATCAAAATCAAATGTTGCAAAAGCAAAATACCGAAATCAAAATAACGAAGGAAAAAAAGAAAGCAAATGCAAAAACCATTTGGTTTTTGGTAATAAAGCTCTGTGGATTATGCGCACACCATAGAGCTAAAATCACCAAAGAGCAAATAATATGCAAACTCAAAAGGGCAAACAAAGGGCAGCAAATAAATAGCATAAATCTTATAAACTATTGCACACACACATATATATATATATATATATCAATTTCATGAAAACGTTTGTTAAGCTGGCCACAGGCGCCGATGCTTTGGTAATCTAGCTTTATGAAGTATTCAAATCTATCATACAGCTAAAGCGCCAAAGCGACGGCAATGTGGCACCAAGAAGAAGCACTTTAAATAACCGTATAGATGTAACACAAATCGACACTCAAAGGACACAAATCACTCGGATGGTGTGAATGCAACACGTGCAACACAGGCACAGAGCGACCCTCAAAGGCGTGCAATACAATGTTGAATTGAGAGTCACTAAGTACCTGAGCAGCAACGTGTGCAGCGGATTGGATTGGTTTTTCCACATTTAACACTGATAATGATTAACACAAGAATAAGAACCAATCGACGAACGAATCTTTCGCTTTTTTATCTCTCTCTGGGCTTACCATGCTCTGCAAACTGCATGTTGGACCACTTGTGATCGAGGATCTTCTCGAGCGTCAGTCGCCCGCCCGGACTGCTGGCGAGCACTTTGCGCAGCAGCGATATGGCCAGCGTATCCAGTTTGCTCCACGGTGTCTGCGTTTGCCAGCGATCGTTGTCCTTCCAATTGGTGAATTCCAGGCAGCTAGCCGATGGCTGATCCCAAGGCAGCTCTTTGGAAATGAAAGACAGAGAAGATTGAAAAATATTTAGATAATTTAGTTGCAGTCGGGCAGACATGGCTTGATGGCTTGAGTTTGGTGGTCCGTGCAAATTAGAAGCTCTTTATTTTTATTGTTGTTGGTTTAGAAATGAGTTAAATCGTGCACAAAAATAGTAATGAATATGATTGTTGATTTTTGACTGTTGTTGTTGTTGCTGTTGTTGCTGTTACGTTATCCATTGCAGCTAGTTTTGTTGTTTTTGTTGCTGTTGCTGTTGGTGGCGGGGTGCAGGCGGTGGCAAGCAATTTAAGCTGGAGCTTTGGTATAAAAGCTTTAGATGATACAAGATATAGAAACAATCTACAGCTAGAATACCAAAGAAACAGCAAAAATGAAAGAAATTGCAATTGTGTGTGGTACTAACTATATAGTTAAGACAAAAAACATGGTGAAACATAGCATGGTGAGCAAAAACACATGACATATCCGAGTAGCTTATCAACTAGCGACTGTGTGAGTGTGGGATGTTGATGTGTGTAACTGCTGGTGCCGGTGTGTAATTAAATTCTATACAATATATAAATATATATATACATACTACGTATATATATGTATACATATATCAAGAGCGAGCGATGGAAGGCGGACACAAAACAATATGAATGCGATGCGAATGCGAATGCGATTTGCGGTTTTCTCTTATTTATCTTTTCATTTATTTTCTTTGTTATTGTTATTGTTGGAAGTGTGCATAAAATCAAATGTTGAATCAATATTAATGTGTGCAGGATTAAAGTGTGGCACTTACCACCCGCCAGCATTGTGACCAATATGACGCCGCATGACCAAATGTCCGCCGGCTGTGCGTGGTAGGGTTTCAGCAGCACCTCCGGCGCCACATATGGCAAAGTGCCGCAACGCTTGTCCAGCAGCCGCTCCCTGCCCTTGCATCTAGAAGCGAGCAAGTCGAAGAATTACAGTTAGTTATGCGATTTAAAATTAAGACTGTTGGAATATAAATTAAGAAAATATTCAATTTGCTGGTACCTAATACCTAAACATGGTGGCCATTCCAAAGTCAGAGATTTTCACATTGTCATGCTCGTCCAGCAGCAGATTCTCCGGCTTCAGGTCACGATGAGCGATGCCACGTTGATGCAAATAGTTCAAACCGGACAGCAGCTGTGTGAAATAGCGCTGCGCTTCATGCTGCGGCATTCCAACATCGGGCTCTAAATGATAAGCAGAAATAGTTTGTAAATTTATTTAATTTATCTGCATAATTAGTGGACTTACCAATGCGATCGAACAACTCTCCGCCGGCAGCGTATTCGAGAAATATGTACTCCACGTCTCCCTGCGAACGTTTGCCGAAGAAGCGCAGGATGTGCGTGTCCTGCAGCATCTTTTGTATGCAGACCTCCTTGCGAACGGAGATCACCGCATCCGGATGCTTCTTCAGATCGACCATTTTCATGGCCACAGCCTCGCCCGTCTGTCGATTTATAAGCAACTTGACTCTGCGCACCACAAAGATAAACAAGATTCGCTTGCATTTAGTAAGTGGAAAATTTGGACAGTGCAGCAGTTGCAGTTGCAGTGGCTGTGGCAGTTGCCCCCAATCCGCTACCGTCTTTGTCTGTGTATCGACTGGTTGTGGTGCAATCAGTTGGTGCTCAGTGCTCCTGTTACCAATTTCGTCGCATGCGCACTACAAATATCAAGCTGCGAGAAGCTGCGATAATAACTGGGCAGCAGAGAGTGCAGAGCCGAGCAGAGCAGCGCAGAGCTGATGTGCAAGCAAATACGCCGGAAAAGTGCGTTTTTTCATTTGCCTCGCAGCATTTCCGGTTTATTGACTTCAACACACACACACACACAGTTACACATGAGACTGAGTTAAGAGTGTGTGATGCATTGGCATTTTGGGAGCACTGCATCCCCCGTCCCCCTCCCGCATAACCCCTTCCACCCACCACTTACTCGCCATATGCACCTTCGCCTAGGGTCTGTGCCAGGGTCCATCCCTCGACGAATTCACGGGTCGCCGACGTTGTTGTTGTTGTTGCTGTCATCGTCGCTGTTGCGTGGGTCGCCGTGTGTTTGGATTTTTGGATTTCGGTTAAGGTGCTTCAATATCCTGTCAACGCGTATCCTGTCGCCATGCGCCTTTATCATCCGTTTGTCAAGAGAGCCAGCATAGCGCTGCCGAGCTGCAAGCATACACAAAAATATCATCAAATGTGAGAAAAACGCTGTTTCATTTATGTTAACGCCTACGCATAAGTTCTTAACTGAAATCGTCATTTCACATCCATTAGTACATTCACCTAGCTTCACTCTGGGGATGCTGCTGTTCAACTTCGTGCTGTACACACATACACACTCACACCAAAGTACATACTACGAGTACAAAAAAAAAAAGAATCCAACGTTTTTCGTTTTATTTTCTTTTTATGCCGCTTTAACATTTCATCTTTTTGGCATGGTCATGGTTCGCCCAAAGTAATCAACCACAACGCGTCACAGGCAGGCACATGCGCTGTGGCAGCCATCTCATCGTGAAAAGAGTGCTCGATTTAGGGCTCTCAATGTGCAGACGTACGTAACGTATACGTGCACAGATACCATACATACATTTGAAATAGTTCATCTTGATTTATGTGCTTATAAATCAGATAAAGATGTTTGGAGTTGACAAGTCTGTTTGGCAAAGCTGGCATCGCTGTTAAGTTAACAGTTGCTTTACTCAAAAAGGATATCGTATTTTTTTCACAATTGCAAATAAGTAGTTTCATAGCATACAGCTTAGTAGCCGGCGTTGCCAGGTTGCCTTTAAATGATTTAGTTATCATAACTCATACAGTTTTATAAATGCATGTTTTTAATGAGAATAATTAATTAAATGTAACAAAATATGATAAAATATTGACAGTGCAATCTCAGTCAAAATATTTCCATCATAATTTGTTAAATCAGCATCAGCAGCAGTCGCAGGCAAACGCATTTGAAATGCTTCTGTCTGCAATTTTTACAAATGAGCATAATGCGTATAATAAATTTGCGCTGCAAAGCCCATACTCTTCTCTCTCTCTCACTCTTTGTCACACTCACACACTCTCTCTTCGCGACTCTCCTTTTGAAATACACAGTTCACCACATGGATTAGACTATGTTTGTTGTTGTTCTTGTCGTCATCGTCCACGTCTACTCGGCTTTTGTATTCGACAGGAAGGCAGGCAAGCAGGCAGCGACAAATAAAGCATAGACTCCTGCTGCCCGCCCCTCTCTCTTTCCTTCTTCTTCTCCTCCTGGTGATGCTGTGCACTCTACTCTAATGCTGCCTGCGACTTATTTCCTTTTGCTGCGCTGTTGAAAAGCTCATTTGCTAACTGGTGTCGGTGTCGATGTCGATGTCGTTCCTTCCGCCCCGCCCCTGCTACGTTGTCGCTCTGCTGGCTGGTTCAACAGGCCACTACTATTAAAAGTTTTCTATTTATTGTACTCGTTGAGTGTACTCCACTCCCATTAACAATCAACAGAACCGAACTTTTCACTCTCTGTCGTTTGCACCCTCTAACAGCCTACAGACTAAGGCTATATGCCACAATTGATTTCTCGGCCAGGAGTATAACAGAAAGTGGACAAATCTTTACTGGTGACAGTTTACAAACACTTGATTCTTATCTTAGTTATCTGAGGTTGGCAAAAGAAGGATAAGAAGACAAATATGGTAAGATCTTCGCCATGCCTATCATGCTTACAAATTCGTATAAACTTTAAGCTGAGTCCTTCACCATTTTCCTTTGGGATAGTCATTAATTTAGCAATTAAAAACGGTTTAGTCGATTGAGCTCGACTAGGAGATATACTCAACCCAATTTATAGCTAAAGTAGCCTATGCACGCTTAGATAACTCGTCTTTATTTAAAGTCTCTAGTTTGTATAGTCTCTGAGATCGGCTCGCTTAGAGAGTCAAACAAATCGAATATGCTCTTGATGCTGATCAAACTATAAGATACAAACTTGAAGATAATTTAGTTTGCATGTTGCATACTTATGAACAATTAGCTATATGGTTATTGTCTATAATTAATGAACTAAATGTATTTAAAGCTCCACCCCTAAATTAAGCAATATATCAGCCATTATTTTGTTTTTATCGCCTTAATTAGTTAATTATTTTTAATAATACATACTTATCGCTATTTTTATAGGTGTGTACAGCTGCAATTAACTAGGTGTGTTTTATACACTAATTCTAAATGAATTGAAAGTCGGATCAGTTGCTCAGCAGCTGGTTCCATTTAAGAAGAAAAAAAGTTAAAAGACTGCTCTCTAAGCTAGTTACAGCGGGCTGCTGCTTGCCCCGTTGCTTGCTTATCCCCGAGACCCGCCCGAGAGTCGGAGAGTCGAGACTAGCTCGAAAGTGGCCCCATAGCAACAGCGTCAAAAACTCGTCGGGGCCTAGGAGTGAGACTGTAACTGCCACAACGACTGACTGTAGATGTTATCTGAGACTGAGACTGAGACTGCGACAGAGACTGAGCCAGAGACTGAGACCAAGACTTCCATCTTTTGCCTTTGCCTTTGCAAGTGGAGGAGACTGAGACTCTCTCTGCCCGCTGACTGTCGATGGTCGATGGTCGACAGTCGATGGTCGGTAAGACAGTCGATGGTCGGTAAGGTAAGGTAAGGTAACGTAAGTTAAGGTAAGGCTAAGCAAATACGAGTTTCGTAAAGTATTTTTATTTGAGACCCGGTTTATTTTTTATGCGCTCTGTACATGAAGGAGAGCTGCTCCTGCCACACTCTAGCTCCCCCCAACCCCTTGCGATGCAATAAAAAAAAATGCAGAAATGAAAAATATATATTGTATGGTTAGGACAAAAAAATAAGTGAAGAAAAAAAACGCAACACTCTCTGTTGGCAGTCACCAAGGACGGTAGCGGATAAGAGATAGGCAAGACGCGTGTATCAAGACTCTGGCCGGAATGGAGATGGACATAACAGGCTGGCTGGCAGATAGACAGACAGACAAGCGGCATGAAAAGACCAGACCAGACCAGCATAGCCAGTTTTTTTTTGTGTCGTTTTTTATATTTTTTGTCTTATGGCGGGAGCTGAAAAGCCAGCCGAGTGTGCAGACATTTTTCGTAAATTAATTTGCCAGCCAAGTAAGATGTATGTAATGACATTAACATTTGCAGGTTTAGCTCCACTGGGTGCCAGCCACGGTACCAGGATAGGGATAATTGTTATCCTTCAATTGCATCTTTTTCTATTTTTTTTTTTAAAGAAATTTTTGCGAACGCGTTTTTTTTTCGATTTGCTTATCGCATTTAATGTCGGGCTTTCGGATGAGAGGAGCCCATCTCCACCTTCATCTCCATCTCCATTTTCATAGCGAGCGAAGCGGCGTCAATCGACACGATTAATGGAAAATATTTCGAAGAGCGCACTGAGCCTGAAAGAAAAAACTCACAGACTGTCATCAACTCGAGAATGCGGCGCGTAGTGCACACTCGCAGACTCAAACACACACACTCGCACACACACACAATGCCCGGTATCGTTTTATTTGTATCTACACCTTCAAAAGTGCCAAAGTCCGTTCTTTGATTAAACATCTTTTATGAGTGTTGTGGATTCGGATCTATAAAACTAAGCTCTATTTATGCTCCACTAACTTTATTAATTTAGTTTTTCTCCAGCTTAGCTTTACGGTCGCCATTTGTAAGCGATTAAAGTAGAGCGGTGTTATCCTGTCACCAATAGCGGTTCGTCCTGGGCCAGCGTTAAAACCAAACTGTTCAGCAAATGCGCCCGACTCATGAGCATTGAATAATCTCCATGACATGGACCAGGCAACTCGAAACTTCCAGCGAAAGGCATCAAAGAGAGCAACAAAAAGAGAGAGAGAGAGAGAGAGGAGAGCTTACGCATGCGCGCGCCAAAAAAATAAAAAAAAATATATATATATGTATTATAGTGGAAGCAACAGAGTTTGCAACTTTTCGGTGGTTGTTGATGTAACTCCTTCTCACTCTCTCACACAGTGCGAGCTCCAAACAGCTTCCAAGTTTAAATTGGCTCTCTTTAAGTTCGAAGCAGCAGCTGGGACGAAGCCGGCGATGGAGACGGCAATAGCCGGTGAGAGAGAGCAGGGCTGTTGCTTCCCTGACGATGGTCGCAATGAGAGAGCGAGCAGGGCTGTTGCTTCTTTTTGTTCCTCTGCATCTTTGGCAATACATGAAAATGTTTATGTATGCATCATACACATACACGCACACGCACGCATACGTGTGTATATGTAAATTTCATTATAGTGCAGTATTCTTTTACACACATTTTTTCAAGCTTCATCAACGTGCCAACGTGTGTAAAATGTTCCCATTCCTGTACTTAATATATATATACGATATACGATTGTCTATACATGTATACATACATTAAGCTTGGCACAATTAAGAGCAAAGATTTGCTCTCTTAAAATTAAGACACAAGCACCCCAAATAACAAATAATTCACATTCTATTCACATATTTACGTTCGGTTTTCCAATGACTTATTGAAGAATGTGCCAATGATGTGTATTTCAAAAGGTGGGGCGACTGCACCGCTCTTACTGCGAATACCCTGTACCAATTCGAAATGCAAAAGGGTATGGTGCAGCTGGATTAGGACGAAATAAATAATAAATAAATTAATCAACCTATATATATACAATTCCTGATAATAGTATACATTTGTACATTGACTATTTAATCCTCCACACACGCTGGCTGGTTTCTCTTTTGTTAGTTTTTTTGCACTCTTCCTGGCAGTTGTCGGGACTCGTTTACATACATATGCATGTGTGTGTGTGTGTGTGTATATGTATGGTGCATATATACACTATAGATATCAATGAGTGTATGCGTATTGTTTACGCCAATGGTTGTCTTTTATACACACATGCGTGAAAACACATACACACACGCATACAGTTATATATATATATGTATTTTATGTACATACATAAATATCTGCGTAAGAGCAATCGTGGTACTCATGAATAAGACAGCAGCATCCCACAGCAGCAGCAGTAACAGCGACGCTTGGCAACAACAGCACAGGCACAGGTAGGAGTACCCTAGTCGACTGTGTTTGACTAACAAATACTCTGTACCCAGATCCAAATTGCGCTTCTGCCTTTTATTTATTACACAATATACAAAAGCCAACGTTCCAAATCAAATTAAGCTCCTAGCTTCTATGGTAGCTGGAATTAGTCCTTAAACAGACTATACCCATTTCCATTGTGCTTGTTACATACACTTCAACAGCATCGTAATACCCTATTTAACAAACATTTATATATACAGGGTATAAGCACAAATTTCAAAAAATAAACGCAATTGGACAAGGGAAACAAGAAAACGGTTGCCAAGGAAATCGAAAAGTTGAATTTGCCACATGATAATAGCATCAGCATATGTGTGCGTGTGTGTGTTTGTCTTTGAAGTTCAAGCTCCACAGACTAGAGCAATAATAGTTGAAACAGCAGCTGTCAGTGCGCCCTCCCCTCCTTCTCCCCTCTTCCCCCCTCATCCGTGCGTATATCCTGTTGTTGGAGCAGCCATTCGTCTGCATGCACCTGGAACATTTTACACATATTAAGTTCAATTGGCTGTCACATGATATTTGGGAAACAAGCGACAGACATTCGAAGGCAACGAAATCTCAAACGATGCTACTGTTTACGTTTATGTATAGACGGCAAATTTTTAGACGAGTAACAACTAATTAAAGCTTTAAATACCCTTACACCAGAATCATTTAAATATTGACCACTAATGGTTTAGACACAGGTTTAGCTTATTTATGTATAAACTAAAAATGTATACACGCATTTAAATATTTTTCTTTTTGTTATAACATATTTTATTTTCAAGCGGTCGTTTGCCGTACATGTTTCCATTGAATAACACTTACATTTTTAGGGATATTATTGGGAAGACAAATGTTAATTTGTTTTCGTACGTTTTAAACCAATTTTACTTATTCTTAAATTTATTTATTTATTTTTTTTTTTCCTTTTAGGCCATTATTTTTCATATTTTACCTCTGTTTAGTGAGTTTTTCACATTTGTAAATATATATTGTACCATATATATATGTATATAAATATATATGTATATATATATATATATATATATATATATATACATGTATATATATGTATATAAATATATATGTATATATATATATGTGTATATTATTATGTATATATATATATATATATATATATATGTATATATATGTATATATATGTATATATATATATCTTATGGGTTCGGAGACGTTGCAAATTTCAAAACAAACTATAATAACGTATTCGAGGAGCAAACATTCTTTACTTAGGTATAAGATCAATTAAATCAATTCATTTAGAAACATCTTAATTCTTTTGCAACTTTTTTGTAAAGCATAGATTTTGTCATTTTTGTATTTCATTCCTTAAAATAATTATTTTGTATTTCAAATTATTAAAAAAAAAAAATAAAAAAAAACAGCATACTACAGTTGTATAACAATTTTGTATTTCAAATTTCAAAATGTTTTTTAATATTTGAAGTACATAATTATTTTGGCACATTAAAAAAAAAATAAAGCTGCATTTTGTATTTCAAATTTAATATGTTCTTCAATATTTGAAGTACATAATTATTTTTGCATGTTACAAAAAAAAAATACTGCATATTACAGTTATATATTCGATGATCACATTTCTTCAGTTTTCGCTTTATGACGTATTAGTATTCTAGCCTTGGCCAACTTGTACTTGGCTAGCGCACTTTAGATTGAGGAGGATGTGAAAGAGCTATACTGATTACACTTCTCTTCTCCTCATGCCGCTGACCTTGCCACTGGCAACTCCATTTCTTCTATTTGGTTCTCCTCCTCCATTTCTTCTATTTGGTTCTCCTCCTCCATTTCTTCTATTTGGTTCTCCTCCTCCATTTCTTCTATTTGGTTCTCCTCCTCCATTTCTTCTATTTGGTTCTCCTCCTCCATTTCTTCTATCTGGTTCTCCTCCTCCATTTCTTCTATTTGGTTCTCCTCCTCCATTTCTTCTATTTGGTTTTCCTCTTTTGCTGCGATTTCGTTTCCATCGATGTTGTTTCTTCGAGCAATTCGTTCGGGATCTCGTCATACATTTCTTGACTGCTGCTGTCGCTGCTCGTATTGGACATACTATTTTGGCGCTTCCTGCCAGGCTCAAAGTAGTTCGGATCGAGGATCAATGGAAAGCTGCGGCGTCCATTGCGTATAATGTGTATATTGCCCTCTGGCAAAGGCTCAGGCGCAGTTCGCGGCGCTTCGAGTGTGCCATCCATCATGGACATCATGCCAAAATGTCGCATCATGGAGATAGCCTCCTTCTCCACGGTGCTCGTGTCATCCCAATCGGCCATGGTCGCGTGCTCGCCCAATGGCTTTGTGCCGGCAATTTCCTGGATGCGCTCCATCATTGCCAGACTGCCGCGAATCTCTTTCGACTTGGATGCATTCACTTTGTCGATCTCCGCGTTTCGCCTCTGCCGATTCGCAAGATACTCGTACGTCGACTTTGGACGTGGAATAAACTCCTGCCTCCGTTTTGCCTCGTACGCCAACTGGCCATGTATCAAATCGAAATCGGGCTGGAAATTAACCAAATCATCCTCAAAGCTAGTTGACGGAGCCCAGGCCATAATAACTCTAAATGTATTTTGTGAGGCTTTTTGTTAAATTAAAGACACGAATCTGTTTGTATTTCTACTGGATGCGATGCAAATGGCGATGTCTTTGTTCGTCTTCTGCGCCCGTAAACATAACCTTCATTGCTTGTGCTCTGCATACAGCTGCACACGCGCATACTCATGTACGCATACACATATACATACACATACATAGATGTGTACATATACAACCATAAATGCGTTCGTGTGCAAGCCGGCAAAACTGACAACAGTAGAACAGCAGACGGTGTGTCGACAGACAAGAAGACAGGCAGAACAACTAACAACAAATCGATTGCAACTCAATTCAATTCACTTACCAAATCAGTATGCAGCTTAATATCTACACAACTTAACAATAAACTCAAAAGCAAATGAAAAACTGAATTTTTCTTCGAATTATGTTTTGTATGCGACAGAGTTACCAAAGCCCGTATATCCAAAACGCCTTTTTGGGCATATTTAGTACAATAATGACACTGTGAATTTTTAAATTGTAACATCGAGGATTTATGCTAAACAATGTTATGTTCATGTTATTAGGGTCAAAGGTTTAATGAATTTAGGGTTTAAGTAGAGACCAACGTTTTAGCCTGCATTACATTGGGCAGCCCTACACCAAAAAAATCTCAACATATATTCGTCTCGCTCTAACGTCAGGAATTCCCATTCGCAATGCAATAAAATGCCGAAGGAATTGCGCCAAAACAGTCAGGGCGAATATACACAAAAAGGTATGAAAGAAAATAGTTGTAGAGCCTGCTTTTTATCCAAATAATTGGCGCACAGATCCCACAATAAGAGAATAATATAACAATGCGAGACTTACCGCTTTGAAAACACTTGCACTTGCAGCGGCGTTTTTTGCACACCTTTTGTTCTAACAATCGCTTTGTTTAGCGACAGCACTTTTAAACCACAGAACTGAATAACTCAATTGGTGGGCATAATTTCTATCTACTATTAATATTTTAAATTTGCTCTAATATGAGAAAATGTAGTCAAAGGCCGCCGTCGCCTTCTTTTGCACATTTGGCAAACTTTACGAGTGTGACTGTATATTCTGAACAGAGAAATGCGAATTAGTGACGGCCTGTCGATGTTTGCGTGGTGGTCAGACGATTATCCAGAAAAATACTAAAAATCCGTATTTAAATTAAAATATCGATTTTTAAAAGGGACTGCCACTGCGAACTTGGCGCCCTAATTTAAGATTTAAGTGTTCGTTTAGAATTGAATCTTGTAATATTTAATAATACCAAAAACGTATAAATATTCTATAATGCAGCGTTTGCATTTTGATGGGAAATGCAGATTTCATGCGTAATTATTGCAGTCGTTGCAACTCGCGCCGACAAAGTTCATTGTCCTCATCGCCTTGCAGCCGTTTTTCTTTTCCTGTTTTTTTTTTTTATTATTACTTTACACATGCGCGATGTGCGTTAATGAAATTCTAACACTTTTTGCCCTCAAACTCAAGGTTTGCCTTTCGCGATTTCGCCCACGTTGCTGCACTCGGCTGGCATTCGCATTGCTCCCAGTCGCAAATCGACAGCTGGATAAGACACACGAAAAAACGGGAAGATTATTTACGAGTGAAACACAAACAACGAATCAATTAATAAAGTGAAACATTTGGCAACAATTCATCTACGAGAAAGATATTTTTAATTTAAAAAATTCTTCAAAAGAAAATAGTCTCGCCATTGTCTATGTGTGCGTGCGGGCGTGAAAATCATTAATCATATAATTAAAGAAATATTTTCGATTAGGCGTCTCATTAATGAAGACATTAAATCCATAAGCAACAGCAGCAGAAACATCAACCCCAATGATTTTCATCGGCAAACCAACGACTCCAATGCGGCTGTGCATTAATCCATTTATAGGTCAAACACCCCCTTTAAACTTTCTGAATTGAAACTTGCACTTCGGCTGCGGCGTTATGTGTGTGTTGTATTCACTGTACTTCCGGCAACGGAAATAGTCATAGTGGGTGCAGGTTACAAGTATCATAATAAAAATTAATTGAAATATGCTCAAACACTTTAATTAATAATTAATAAAATTCTCCATAATCAGCCTATCTTAATTACGTAATTTTCAATATTTGTAGCCATATTTAGTGTGAAAATATCAAACGAATATACAATCAAAACGATCAAAACAAATATATGAATAACTATGAATATTGCTTATACATAAGCAACAAATAATAAATTGAAGAACTTGCTGAAAAATACGAGCGATTCATCACGATCGAGAAGCAAAACTAAAAACAATCCAAACATATAAACAAACGTTGAGTTCTCATTGATTGTCGAATTATTAATTTTGCTTTTTATTTAGTTTAAGTTTTTATTTTGCGTTTGATTTCGAAAATTTCCGTCTTGTTCCCGGTGGCAAAGTCAACGTGAACCAAAAAATCATACGCTGGAAGTGCTACGGCAACAAACGCGCTCGATTGCCTCACTCAAGAGAAAATCCCAACTCAAGGTAACTAAAGGGATGGGACAAACACCTGCAGGCAATAGGGCCTGAATAGGAGCAGGGGTATGCACGAGGAAATGGACACTTCAGTTTAAGCTTTGCATAGACAAAAAGTGATTTAAATCAAAATTATAATTCCGTTTTCCCTTTATATAATTCAGGTTCGCCTCTGCAAGGGGCTGTACAATTTTTACAGTTAGCCAGACAAGTATTTAGGTTTCCTAAAAACATTTTTAAGAATAACGATATTAAATATGTTATAATATATTATAATTGAATTATTGAAAATAACTGATTGCACAAAATGCTTGTTGAAGAAAGGAATGAGAATTGTAGTTTCTTGTTAACAGATCTTAAGTCTTTTCATATATGAAATATCGAAGATCTCTGAGAAACCCACCTGCTCATGGGGTTAGTTTCAAAACTCTATATCATATTTAATGATTCAAATTATGTATATGGAAAAGAAGAGCGGAATTATTAAAAAAAAAACAAAATAAATAAAGTGATAATCTGCAAGTGTCTAAAGAGGATCACAACACTACCTTCCAAAAGTCCTTTACTTAGCAAAAGGAATAAAAAAAATTAAGAATTAGAACATTTTTCGAAACAGAAATTTGTAAGTCTATTCAAATCCAAAATACTGAATCGAAATCTTGAAAGTTATTAAGTCCAATGCTGTACCAATGAAAACATCCAATCAGTTTTCATATTACACGCACATATATATATTTATATATGTATACTGATGGATGTATACGTGTGCGGCATGCAGATGTGTGTGTGTGTGTGTAAATAACAAAACAAACAAACAAACAACAAAAGGGGTAGTTTGTGGGGAGAAGGGTGCGGAGGGTGTTGCGGTCATCCTGACTGAGTGCAGTGCCCTGAATTAAAACACGCTCAAGGACAACGACAACAGCTGCAAAAATGCAAATGGCAGCAGCAACAACAATTGCAACAACCTGCTGCAAAGTTGTTATTAATTGCTGGCCCACGTTGCGCATACTTAATTTGACCAACACTTTTTGCATGTGTGCCATAAAGTTCTCAGATGAATGTATTTGTGTGTTAGCTGAATGTGGTTGCCTGCCAGACAGGCTATGCAGTTTAAACTGCACGCCGAACAACTTGGCCAAATTCTTGTTGCCTTGGCAGCCACTGTACAACAACAACAACAACAACTGCTATTACTACTACATAGTAATAAACCACCCTCAAGCTCGGCACTCACGCACTCTTGTCCCACATTTCTTGCCAAAACAGAACAAAACAAAGCCAAAATAGAACAGAATATAACAGCATAGAACAGCATAGAACAGAATAGGACAGAAAAGAAGCTCAGGTTTCGCCTCTCATTGCAACTGGCATTGTAGATTCAAGTTTTGCAACATTTGTGCGGGGTTTCTGACTTGTCCTTCGCATTTGCCTTTATTTCTGAGGATGGCGAGAGTTCCAAGTAGCTGCTGTCAAGGACGCATGTATGCCTCAGTCGTTGCCGGCATCGACACAAGGACACATTTGGGGGGTGGCCATGCGTACCACTCCTGCCACATCTGCCACTGCCATCTGGCATCGGGCATCTAATAAGCCGGATGTGGCCAACCTTCGCTGGTGGCGAACCTGAACCTGAAGCTGTACAGAAATTTACTCCACAATTTACACACTCAGCGTGTGTGTGTGTGTGTGTGTGTAATTTTTCTCTTAACTGTTTGACAGACGGAATAAATACCTCCTACGCCAAAAAGTGTATTAATTTGTTTATTTAATTGGGATACAAAGATACAAAGAGTCAGAAGTAAAATAAACAAAAGTTGGGCAAATCTCGGAACTTGTGGAATAAGATAAGTTTACCACAGTTAAGGGGATTTCCAGAGATCTATTAGTAGTTGGATTTAATATAGTTTCCATAGCTATACAACAGTTAAGAGATATCTTAATCAAGCATAAAGTAAACTGCTCAAGACTGCATTGAATTGTTTTGAGTACCATTAAAAACCCAAGCTTCAGCTTTGCATACCATAAAAGTATTTATTCTTAGAAGGCTTTCAAGCTTTATGTAAAATGATAAAAATGTTTTTTAACTTGCCTTTAGTCGTCGTTGAATGTTAATCAACTAACAACACTAATATTTGTATTTGTTATGCTTTTTTGTCTTTTAATAGTTGTCGAAATGGAGCGATGCGAAGACAGGCGAGGAGGGAGAAGGTAAGTGAGACACAAACAAGCTGACAAAACTCAACCAGAAAACTGCCAAAAATGATTGAATTACTCTCAGCCACTCGATGTTTGAGTTAAGTGATATCATTTTACACTTGTGTTAATTATTATTTGCTCCAGTTAATAGACATGGTCAACTATCAACTGCTTAAGCTGTTAAGACTAATGCGAACCCACTTTAAATATTTTTAATAATTTAAAACTAACACAAAGCCAGCGAAAGATATATTTAAATGAAATAAAAGTCATCGATAAACAATCTTTGTTGATTTTTGATAACTAGGAAACTGGAATTCGCCAGCAGGATTCGGGTCAAAATCAGATAGCGTTTTTTGCTCGAGTGTTTTGTGCATATCTGGATCGTTTTCAGGTCAATCAGTAGTATTTCAATGGTTTGTGATTACTAAGTCAGTCGCAAAGGTGGCTCACTTTTCTTTCATATGTGTGTGTGTATGTGTGTGTGTGTGTGTCTGTGTGTGTGTTTGCGTGTGTGCGTGTGTATCGTGCACAAAATGGCGGCGACACCAAAGTCGTTGTCCATTTTGTTACTGTTTTATGGCGTTGCATGTCCCGACCTACGACAACCAGAATGCATTGTGCCTAGGTTATGTCCTGCGCAGTCTCACTTTCTCCAACTCACACACACACACACACACACACACACACACACACACACACACACACACACACACACACAGACACAGACACAAATTCGTCTGTCTGTGTGAAATCAATGAAGGTTCAACGCTCGCTGCACTAGAAACATGCAAGCGAAATGGAGACCAACTTGCTCATCCTACAATCACCCGAATAATACTCGGACCGAGTCTCATCGAATCGCAGACACCCTTTTTATGCTTATAAATAAAGTACACATTTTCAGCTAGCGTAATTTTCAATTACAATATTTGTATAGCCATCAAAAGAAGTTGCTGATACATTCTTTAGGGGCTACAAACTAAATAGGTGTGAGGGTGTAAGGGTGTAAGGGTGTAAGGGTGTAAGGGTGTGTGAGATTTGTGAAGGTCGTATGTATGTGCATTGATATGGTATGCCCAAAAGTGTTTATCGCGGCATGAATACTACGCTACTTCAGTTTGTAGTTGCAATAACATAAATACTCTTTTGCCTTTCTTCTCTTCGACAAGGACTAAACAAACTGAATTGGAATTTTCACGAGGGTTGCCTTTTGTGGCACATTCTCACATACATACATATTTCAACTTCTTTGGGTATTGACTGTGGGAATGCATTTTTAATGCAACCAATGTCATTGCATATCAAATGTGAGAAATAGTCAACTCATCGGTTACTCATAGTCACTTATATGCAAGCACTCTCAACAACACCAGGCTGGGCAAGTCTGTGCAGCTTTCAACAGCAGTTGTGTCTGTGTGTGTATGACACATATATATATTTATATATATATATATATATATATATATGATATATAGACACACATATACACACAGCAAGCAACTATTGACCCAGATTTGCCAACGAGACACGCAAACACTGCGCCCTTCTTTGGCCCATAACCCAAAAGCAACGCTTGCTGCTTTTATATGTTTATGTTTATATGTCTATATGTCTATATGTATGTGTTTACATTTACATTTACGTTTGAAAATTATAATTTAATTTGATGCTGCTGCTGCTACTGCTGCTGATATGATTATAATGCCTTGCCGCTTGCTGCTCTGACATTTGTGATTGCGATTAGCAGAGAGCACTCTCTGAAATCAATGCAAATAAAGGCGAGCGGTGCTTTGATTTCGCACAAGGACACAGTTGCCAACTCCGACCTTGGAATTGTGCAAACACGCCACTGGATTAGACAGATGTGGCAGGAGGATAAATTAATTATGCGCCCTGACTGGGTTTGTGTCTGTCTCTGTCTCTCTGTCTGTCTGCCCCTCTGTCTGTCTGTCTGTTTTGAAAATGTGCAATTGAAATTGGCATTGATTAACTTTGTTAAGCGAGTTGAGTTGACTGTAATTAAATTCGCTGTTAAAGTATTCTATAATCTAAGAGATTTTGTCGGGAAACGAGGCGGAGACAGAAGGGCCCCCAACAGGACCAGAACCGTATTGTGGCATAGGAAGACACACTAAACGACTGCAACTTAGAAACGAGGAGAGACAGAGACGGCAACAGAGCTGGTCACAGGCAGTAGGACTCCGACCAGCCAGATGTCATCTAGGTGGTTATAATCTTGGACAAGTTATAACCATGGGAAAGATCAACCTTAGGATACTTACAAGTCTATTGACAGGACACTGTAGACTAAGAAGTTACCTAACTCAACTAGGTATATATATTAGCGATCTGTGCGGGTTTTGTGAAAGAGAGGAGGAATCTTCGATGCACATCCTAGCAGAGTGTGTCACCTTAGCTAGAAGAAGACGCAGCATCCTGCATGTGGTACATGTTTTGAATTGTAGAGACATAGAAGACCTCAACCCAACAAAGATCCTCACATTGGTGCGGGAGCTGGTGCTGATGGAAGAGCTATAGGCTCACAAGGGGGCACAATAGATCAAATAGGTCGCGGTGCAATTTCCTCCCAATAATAATAATAAGAGATTTTGTGCATTTTAATTTGGCAACTGGGAAGTACTCAGAGTATTTATTATGTAACATAAATAATGAAAATAAAAAAATTGTTGAATACAACTCCCAAATTGTGTGCACTTTTAGATGGTTGGGCAGCTGTGACAAGTTATTACTTTAAAATATTTATAAATGTGTATGAATAAATAGTATTAGTACTGGCAATTGATCCTTTGATACACAAAACCCAGGCTAGCTCTTTTCTCAGTTGGTTGCTAAGCAGCTAAGTCAAAGCAAAACTGCAATAAATTGAAATTTTGTGTTTGTGTTTTTTCCAACTATTTTTGCAGACGAAGGAAAAAAGCTGCACTTTATTAGTCCGGCGCGTCGGAAATCTGTTTTAGCACCCATATTAAATAAGATTAAAAATGGTATGGATGCTGCAGATATTGGGGACAAGAAGCTGGGCAGTGAGAGCAGCGGCAGTGGCCACATAGCCGTCCAAATTGAACCCGCCAGGCGTGTCAAGGTGCGTTTCCCCCAGTGTTGACAGAATAGCATTGATCAACTTGAATCGTTTCCATGTAGCGCCATAGCATACACGGCATGATGGAGGAGGAGAACACCATAAGACCGCATCAGGAGATACGTCAGCTGACGCTGGAGGAGAAGAAGTTTCTGCTCGCTGTGGAGAGGGGGGATATGGCGGGCACACGCCGGATGCTGCAGAAGGCGCAGGACACCGACTACATAAATGTGAACTGTGTGGATCCATTGGGTCGGACCGCCCTGCTCATGGCCATCGATAATGAGAACTTGGAAATGGTTGAGCTGCTCATCAACTACAATGTGGACACAAAGGATGCACTCCTGCACTCCATCTCCGAGGAGTTTGTCGAAGCCGTTGAGGTGCTGCTGGATCACGAGAATGTCACCTTTCAGATTGAGGGCAATCATGTATGTGGCATGTTCGCTTCTTATATAAATAATCATTGGTTATACTTTGACTTAGAGCTGGGAGTCCGCTTCGGAGGAGACCTCAACGTTTACGCCGGACATAACGCCGCTGATATTGGCTGCACATCGGGACAACTATGAGATAATTAAGATCCTTTTGGACCGTGGCGCTGTCCTGCCCATGCCACACGATGTGCGCTGCGGCTGTGACGAGTGCGTCCAGTCCCGGCAGGAGGACTCGCTGCGGCATTCGCGGTCTCGCATCAATGCGTATCGCGCCCTCGCCAGTCCCAGCCTTATAGCGCTCTCCTCCAAGGATCCCATTCTCACTGCCTTTGAGTTGTCGTGGGAGCTGCGACGCCTCAGCTTTCTGGAGCATGAATTCAAGGTGCGTTCCCCAAGCAGATGGAAATGTTGTCCAGCTTCTGATTAATCTTGTGATTACAGAATGAGTATCAGGAGTTGCGCAAACAGTGCCAGGACTTTGCAACCGCTCTGCTGGATCACACACGCACCTCGCACGAGCTGGAGATCTTGCTGAACCACGATCCCACTGGGCCCGTCTATGAGCACGGCGAACGAATGCATCTCAATCGCCTAAAGTTGGCCATCAAACTGCGCCAAAAGAAGGTTGTGTTAACTGGTCCAAAGTATCTTTGTTATTATTACGAAACTAATTTGACTGCTTTGCTTTTAGTTTGTGGCCCATTCGAATGTGCAGCAGTTGCTGGCCAGCATTTGGTATGAGGGTTTGCCGGGATTCAGGCGAAAGAATATGGCATTGCAGGCAGTGGACATTATCCGGATTGGCATCATGTTTCCCATATTCTCGCTGGCCTATATACTGGCGCCCTATTCGGCCATTGGGCAGACAATGCGGAAGCCCTTCATCAAGTTCATCTGCCACAGCGCCTCGTATTTCACATTTCTGTTCCTGCTGATGCTCGCCTCACAGCGCATCGAGTCCTTCATTGGCAGCTGGCTGTGGACCGATTCGAGCAGCATGCTCAACCAGGTGGAGGAGGAGCTGCAGCTGCCCACCAAGCGTGGCGCCAAGCCAACGTTCATCGAGTGGCTAATCCTGGCCTGGGTCAGCGGCCTCATCTGGAGCGAGGTGAAGCAGCTGTGGGATGTGGGTCTGCAGGAGTATCTGAATGATATGTGGAATGTCATCGATTTCGTGACCAACTCACTGTATGTGGCCACAGTGGCTCTTCGTGTGGTTTCCTTCTTTCAGGTGCTGTACTCCACAACTTTATTCAAAATACACACAAATTATTGTTGTTGCTTTCGCCAAATAGGTGAAAAAAGAGATGATCTTCAATTCGCAGGCGACAGATTTGCCGCGAGAGCGTTGGGACACATGGGATCCAATGCTCATCTCGGAGGGCCTTTTTAGTGCGGCAAACATTTTCAGTAGCCTCAAGCTGGTGTACATCTTCTCGGTGAACCCACACTTGGGGCCACTGCAGGTGTCCTTGTCGCGCATGGTCATGGACATTATGAAGTTCTTCTTCCTCTACGTGTTGGTCCTCTTCGCCTTCGGCAGCGGTCTCAACCAGCTCCTCTGGTGCGTACCAATCACAGCTATTCATTTTGTATTTATTCCTGTTCATTTTGAAGCGCATCTTATTTGATTGAGCCTGCTAAATACAACTAAAGCATTCTTTGTACACCTGCCAGGACTATTTAAATGTTTAATTATTTTTATTTGATCTATTACACCTGCCTGGAGATGTAATTCTTTTAGATCTTTCTTAAAAGGTTTGCTTTTTATTTGACTTCTTACATCTGCCAGGACTATGACCCTGAAAGTTTAGGCTTTTTATATATTTTTATCTATTTAAAATATTGTCTTTTAAAGTCAGTTGTATAAAAAATTTAAAAGTTAATTAATGAAACTATTAAATAGGTGCAGAAACTTGTAGTTTATTTAATTGTTTTATTGTTTAAATGTTTTCGGAGCTGCGAAGTCGTTTTACGAATCTTGCATTAAGTTTTGAGTCTCTTTTCCATATTGATTATTTTTTGAAGGTTTTATTGTTAATGTTTATCTTTAATTACCATGTCTTAATGTGAAGTTCCATAATTGCTTTTCGTGTATATTTAATGCCGTTCAGGTACTATTCTGATCTGGAGAAAAAGCGCTGTCCCGAAGTATCCCCAAGTGTCCTGCTGAACATGAATGGCACAAACGATCCGAATGCCTGCATTGTCTGGCGTCGTTTCTCGAAGTGAGTGGAATAATGTCAATTAATATTCGAATATGAATTTAATAATCGAAAGTACTTGCAGTCTGTTTGAGACCACACAGACCTTGTTCTGGGCTGTCTTTGGGCTGATTGATCTCGACAGCTTCGAGCTGGATGGCATTAAAATCTTTACACGCTTTTGGGGCATGCTGATGTTTGGCACCTACTCCGTAATCAATATAGTTGTGCTACTCAATCTCTTGATTGCCATGATGAATCACTCGTATCAACTTATCTCGGTGAGTCCACACACAAACATCGTCTAAATGCGTCCGGACTCACGGACATGGTCCATTGCAGGAACGTGCCGATGTTGAGTGGAAATTCGCCCGTTCCAAGCTGTGGATTAGTTACTTTGAGGAGGGCGGCACCTGCCCGCCCCCATTCAATATAATACCGACGCCCAAGTCCATTTGGTATGCCTTCAAGTGGATGCGGCAGGTGTTTTGTAGCGGCTCCTCGGCAGCCCGACGTGAACATCTCAAGACAATCCGGGTGAGTAAACTGAACTGTGTAAAGGAAAGAACTATGAAAGCTATTACAAAATAAGTGATTCAAGTATATTCAAGTATCTCACTTGATTTTGTTGTACTCTTTAGGAATTTTAAGACTCTTCGAAGTGAATTTTAGCTTAAAGTAATACTTATTCCTCTGATACCAACAGCGCAAGGCACAGCAGGCCAGTGATCGGGACTTTAAGTATCAGCAGATTATGCGGAATCTGGTGCGTCGCTATGTGACCGTTGAGCAGCGGAAGGCGGAGTCTCAGGGCGTCACCGAGGACGATGTGAATGAGATCAAACAGGACATTTCCGCATTCCGCTGCGAGCTGGTGGAAATACTGAAAAACAGCGGCATGGACACGAATGTGACAGCGGGTCAAGGTGGAGGTAATACGACCTGTGACCCTTCAGCCGGTCTATCTAATGCCAAATTTAATATCATTTTGCAGGTGGCGGCGGTAAAAAGAATCGACAGAAAGAGCGTCGCCTAATGAAAGGTTTCAATATTGCACCGCCGGGATCAACGGGTTCGCTGGCGCCCGTGGCCGAGTTCTCCACATCGCTGGACAACTACGATAATCAAAATGAGATTCTCAGCTCAACGCTATCCACACTCTTTGCGCCCAATTTCATGCACAGGCGCCAGAACACAACGGCCGGCTCCATTGGCGGCATGGAGTCGCCAACATCGCCAACGCAGGCAACAACAGCAGCGGCAGCAACGCCTGCGGCATCGGCGACAACGGCAGTGCCAGGCAGTGCCACCAAGTACAATAAGACCACACTGAAGTATAACAAACGCATCGCTGGACACAAGAAACGTTGGGGTATGTCCAAAATCAATGTAATTCCCTCGCCAGAGCAAAGTAATCTTGCCTGCCGCTGCCTTAGGCACACTGATTGAGGCCGCCAAGGTGGGCAACATGAGCAAAATGCTGGGACGCTCCAAGTCCGAGGACTCCGTGTGCAATTCCTCGCAGAACTCAACGCCTGTGCATGGCCAGGTGAGGGTGAAATATGCACAGTGCTCACCACAGCATGCATATACAGCCCAGCATGGCGGGGATCCACCAAATGCTGCCTCGCTTCCACATCCTGCAGCCTTGAATGGTGCCAGCAACATGGGCCACGCCCATGTGGGCGTTGGCACACACTTTTTTCACACGACGACGGGTTTGTATAGCAATCTGCTCGAGTGTAAACAAAAATTTGTACTTTAATTTGTGGCAGGTTTAACGGCAATTGCGGCGCTGAAACGGAAGCGCAAAAAATTCTCATCGAGTAAAAACATTTGCCCCGTCTCCGAATCCATTGCGGCTGCGAATGTGGCAAATGCTGCCAATGTGGCCAATGTTGCCGATCTGCTGACTGACAAGGTGTGTGCTCTTTGCCCCAAACTCAGATGTGTGGCAAGATGAAAGTAACTTTTTTGTTGTTTTTCTTTTTCTCAAACAGACGCTGAAACGCGTTTCCAGCTATCCGGCAGCGAACGCCGAGGGCGGTGTGCCACACAAAGATCCTGCCCAGCTGGTGAGACCACGACGGCATGAGCAAACCCAGAGCCAGCACGACTCTGTGGAGGCATCAACGGAGTTCACGTTGTCCATCGATCCATCCAACACGTCCGTCAATTCGCGCGAGCCGCTGATCAGCAGCAGTTGCATCTCCGCGTTGACGGCCAATGACTGAATATTATTATTTAATTGGTATCAGGTTGCAGGGATCGGGGATGACATAATCATAGTATCTTAGTAGCTGTAGCTGTAGCTGTCTACTGCACACGCATTGCATTCGAATCGAACAAATCAAACAACGATATACGAACATTTACATAAGGACGCAATGCAGTCGCCATATTGATTGCACAGGACCTTAGACAGATAGAAACTGGGACAGGTTTGGCTTTGGGTTCAGTCAGTTCAACTGCCATAAGACATAATATCCATATATCCACATATCCACATATCATGTGTCTGTATTTAGATGAATGCTTTCACAGAGATGCCGTCGAATTTGAATCGTATTTAAATCGCTAACCAACACCAAAAATATAACTATCCCATATCGATATTGAAAGTTGCCTTAGCATGAGAAATATTTTTTGTATGAACTACAGTTAAAAAAAAAAAACACATGCATATTTATACATATATATATATATGTATATATAAATTCATACGTTTGTATACACAAGTTTTTTGGATGATCATTGAGTAACTAAAAGTCAACTTGTACTTAGGGTAGCGCTGTGTGATCTTAATTTCAGAATGGATTTGAACACGATAATATTTTCAAGTTCCATACGTAAGCTGTGTACTTAAAATAATAGAAAAGAGAAGCAAATCAAACAAATTTTATACACCGATTTTAAACAACACAAACAAACAATAAACGAATTGCAAAACTCTTAATGATTTTAGCGACTATATAGAAAATACTTTCATATATAATATATATATATATATATGTGTACTAGATAAAATACGATTACTAACTTCATTTTTAGAAGAGTTTTAAGTTAAACGAAAAAAGAAAAAGAAGAGTCAAACGGAATGTTAACTTATATTTAGTTAAATCCATATTGGTTGCAACAACTTAGACTTAAGCATAACGAAACTTATTGTGACCCACAGCAGCACATTAGCTAAATACATAACTAAACCAAAGAGTTATACAATAAACAATAGACACCAAATGTAGGTACTTCAAGTGTTATATACATGAATTTATAATCTACATATCAAAAGATACAATAACGTCCGGACTATAAACCTATCATTCTATCACAACTTATCACAACTATACACATTGTCCGAGTCGATCCGTATATAGTTGACTATATCTATTGGAATAACGAATAACGACGAACATCGAACAGATCCAAACTATATATTTGCACTACAGTTATTTTTTACAGTGTCAGTGTTAGTCTTTCACAGACAGACAGATATCGTCTGGATTGATTTGATTTAAATATCAAATAGGGATGAATAAACTAGTAACTAAACTAAACAAAACAAAACAAAGAAATGTTATTTGCACGGAAAATAAACGTAATTTAAATACAAAAAAAAACCCAAAACGAGTTTCAGTTGTTTTCGATTAATAAATTAAGCTGATCTTTGGCCTAAAGTTGCAGGCTTATCAAATAAAATAAAATAAACGAGACGCTTTCAGTATTTGTAAATCGCATTTATTTTAAATATATATATGTATATATATAATTTGCAAATAATTGTTATAAATATACATATACATATATATATATATATACATATACACATATATATATATATACATACATATATATATATATATTTATGTTGCAATGTATTACATATGGTATGTATGTATAATAAACAAATAATTCGACAAATAGTACAATATTTTTGCTAATATAAACGTTTATATATTGTAACCATTTACCGTTGTAAACATACATGTTTTTCTGTTTTTTGTTTTCTGTTTTGTTTTTTGTTTGTTTTTTTTTTTTTTGTTTTCTGTTTTTTTTTTTTTAATTTCATATGAAACTATGGAAAGAAACGATTACATTAATTTATTTAATTAGAAAAATAATAATAATTGGAATAAATCACTTTGCGTTGCATTAGGCTATAAATTTCAAATATTTTTTATTATATGTATGTATATACTAAATAATTGGTTTTTCTTTTCTTTTCCTTTCGTTTTTTTTTTGTTTTTGTGTGTGTAAAAAATATATTTATTTATATGTATAAATGTATGTATATATATTTGTTTGTTTTTGTTTTTTTCGATTTGTGTGGTGTATATTGTGTATTTATTTATATATATATATATATATATAAATGAGAGCTTTGCCTAGCAGAGGGTTGTCGCTATATATCCATATATATAGCACGGGATCGAAATTTTGGGCAACAACGACATAATTTTACATAATTCATGTAAGCTCTGGAATAATTGTATCGTGAATGCTATATAAGACTCCACTTATTTAGTTGGCACCTAAATGGGTGCCCCATCATCATCATCATCATCATCATCATCATCATCGTTGTGTTTGTTTTTGTTGTTGTAATGTTTATCATAATAAATTGTGTAATTAAATTGTGTAATAATTCATATGAAGAGTTGAGAGAATGAAGGAAGCGTCTGTGTGTGTGTGTGTGTCTGTGTGTGTCTGTGTGTGTGTGTGTGTGTTATAAACTGTCTGTGAAATAAACAAAGGTTCCATTCCATAAACATTTCGGGATGTAAATGGTGCTCGCATCCAGAGATTGGCCATTGAGAACAGTTGTACAGTTTTACAGATATTCAATATAATCATATTTGCATAGTTACACATTTATGTCCACATATCTGTATATATATATATATATATATATATAGATATATATATATATGGTAGTTATCAGTAGTATACTATGAATAGAACATAGTCTAATAAATTCATATTTTTCGTTAATCATTTTGCATATATGTAACTCGTTTCACTTTAGCTATATAGATACATGTATGGCATTGCACACATCTATATATATATATATATACATATAGGGAATATATATATATATATATTTATATATATGTGCGCACATGCAACAACAATGCGGTAAACCGTTTAAAAAGCATTTTTGAAGAATTTTAAGTAGTCCTTTTGGGGTTAAGTTACAGATACAGTTTTCATTTTGTTTTCATTAAATTTATGTACATTGAGAAGTTTCTTTCTTTTTTTTGTTGCACAAAATGCTATAGCACATATGGAGATTTGAGTGTCTGTCTGTGTGTGTGTGTGTGTCTGTTGTGTGTGTTTAATTGTGATTTTAAATATGTAGTTAGTAACAACAATACCATTACAAACACTTTTGTATGCATTTCCCAACTATCAATATATATATATATATATATGTATATGTATATATGTATATATGTATATATGTGTGTATGTATGTTTCAATAATATATATATATATATATAAATTGTGTATCGACAAAAGTTCATAAAGAATGTTTTCATTGTGTACATTTAATACAATTGTTGACGCTGTTATTGTTAAGAAGTTGGTTTCTGCATTTTCTTTTCTTTTTTGTTGATTTTTGTTAATGTTTTAGGAGTGATTAATTAGATTACAATTGATTTGATTTCTTTTTGAATATACATAGATTTTTATAGTGTTAATTACAACTAGGCAATCGTAATCGTTTTTTGTTTTTGTTTTAATTTTTGATTTTTTGTTTTGTTTTTGTGACACCCAAAAAATTGTGATCAATCAGTGTTTTTTTTGCCATTGGCCATTGGCTTAGCCACAGAGCATGTGCACCAGCATGGCAACCAGGAAGGTGACAAACACAAATGAAACCACAAAGAAGACGGCCTTCTGCTGATCCGTCAGCCGCTTCCTGTTGCAATACAGCGCCGTCAGCTTGGCGACAATCCTTCGGACAATGTTGCCGTGCGGCATGTTGCTGCTGCAGTTGCCATTGCTGCCGCTGCTCATGATGCTGTTGCTGCTGTTGCTTGTGCCGGGCAGAATGCCGGCGCCGGCAGCGGCCGAGGGATGCCTGTAGTGGGCATGATGCATGTGGTGTGAATGATGCAAGTGCTGGTGATGCATATGATTGCCACGCAACAGCAGCGTCGAGGACGCTGGCAGGGTGGCCAGACTGGAGGCGCTCGCTGCTGCTTCAGCGGCACACCCCGGATGCTGATGATGGTGATGGTGGTGATGATGATGATGCCTCGGATCTGCGCAAGACTTGAAGCTGCTCGCCGACAACTCATGCTGCAGCCGACTAATTGCCTGGGCATCGGCGCCGACACCGCTGCTGCCGCTAATCGCAGAGGCGCTAACCGAACGCAGATGCAATCCACTGGCGCTGGAGCCGTTGCTCGAGGACAGTTTGCGGCTGGAGCGCTGTGTGGCATGTGTCGGCGCCGCACTCGCACCGTGCAACAGATGCTGGCGCACAGCAACCGCCGAACTGACATCCAAATTACTGGGCACCTGGTAGCGCAACGCCACCGAAGATTGGCCATGGAACAGATCGCCGGCGGCGGTGACACGCACGGGACACACACGAAACTGGTAGCAGGTGCCCGCCGCCAGATTATCAATGGTGAACTTGGTCTCTGTGCCCCGATACAGCTGGCGATAATCCTGATTGCTCAGCGCAACCGGAGCAGCAGCAGCAGCAGCAGCATTGTTGGAGGAGCCGCTGCTGCTGCGACCCTTGGGTGAGTTCGAGGCATCCGCATCCGAGGCGACAACGGCATATTGCAGCTCGTACTCGACGCGATCCTGGAAGCTATTCTTCGAGTGCTGCCACTCGAGGGTCAGCTGCATCGCCGGCTGATTGGCCCGATCCAGCACACAGACGCCGCTCTCGTGCATCACCCGCGGCGCCTTAATGTTTGCCGGCAGCGTGGCGCTCGTCTCGAATATGTACTCCTCGGAGTATTCGCCATCGCCGGCACGATCCGTGTGCGCATAGATGCGGAATGTGTAGCTGCTGCGCTCCTGCAGCTTGTGTATCTTGCACATGCAATTGGTGCCGGAGTAGACGGCCTGGAATTGCTTCGCCCGTGCCACATACATCTCCACGTGGTACTTGGTGCCGGGCACTGGTCCTCCGCTATTGCCGCTGTTGCCGCCAGTTGTGCCGTTTGGCGCCGTTTTGCCAGTCTCGCCCCACTTGAGCTTGATGTAGTTGTGCCCCGATCCGCTGCACTCCAGTCGTGGCGGTGCTGGCGGCGATGGTTGTGTCGTCAGCTTGGCATAGGCACTGAACGGACCAGAGCCCATCGCATTCACCGCCTGCACGCGAAACTTGTAGCTCGTCTCGGGCGTCAGGCCGAGCACCGTGTAACGGGTGCATGCATCCGGTGTGGCAATCGTCCGCTCACCGTACTCAATGTTGTAGCTGCAGATGGGCGAGCCATGCGCCGCTGGCTGTGTCCAGTTGAGCGTTACCACCTGGTGGGTGAACTCGTAGCCCTGCATCTGTGGTGCGCCCGGCACCGCCGATGGCGTCGACACGCACACCACATCTGTGGGTGGGCCGGTGCCGGCTGCATTGCTGGCGAGGACGCGCAGATAGTAGCGCGTATATGGCGTCAGATTGCGCAGCTCCACGTTGGTCTGGCTGCCCTGGTAGCAGCCATGGAATTGAGTGCCCAACGGCTCCACGGGCGGCTCGTCCAGCGGCTGGCTGGCGTTCTGCAGCGTGTACCCCGTCACTGGGCTGCCATTGAGCAGCATTGGTGGCTGCCAATTGATGCTCAGATGGGTGGCGGACTTGACGAGCGCCTGGAGCGCTTCGGCTGCGCCGGGTGGTGCAGCGGCCGCTGTGAAGCGCAACCACTGCGACCAGCTGCCGGCGCCGATGCGATTGATGGCACGCGCTTGCACCTCGTAGATGCCGCCGGGTTGCAGCTGCTGTGCCACAAAGCAATCCTGTTGGCCCCGATAGACGCTTTGCGTTGCCAATGGCAGCGTCTGTTCCGAGATTTCCAGATGACGCAGTTGCGCCTCAAATTCGAGCACCGGCGCACCACCATTGTATTCCGGCTGGCTGAGCCTCAGCCGCACCGCATAAGGCGTTGGCGGCGCATCGCATTGAGGCGCTGGCGGTGCACCGGGCGGCACTGCCTCCGTGGTCACATGGCCAATGTCCGAGAAGGCGCTCTCACCGGCCGAGCCCTCGCAGCACGCACGCAACTGATAAGTGACGCCCGGCTGGAGGCGATCACACATTGCCTCCGTCTCGCTGCCAGAGTAGATCCGCTCGAAGCTGGCACCCATGCTCAGCTCGAGATGGTAGCGCAACGCATCGCAGCCACCGTTGTCCGACGGTGGCTCCCAGCGCGCCTTGAAGTGTGTGCCGTGTATCTTGCCCTTGACATGCGGCTTCCCGGGTCGCCCGGGACGCTCGGCAACGGTGCTGTAGCTGACCTCCGGGGACCAGGGCGAGACGCCGGCATCGTTCTCGGCACGCAGACGGAATTGATAGCTGGTGGCGCGTCGCAGCTGCTGGCACTCGTAGTGGGTGTCGCCGCCCTTGTAGCTGTTCAGGTAACCATGTCCGGTGTCCGCATCCTGCAGCTGCAGCAGAAAGTCACCGTCTTGCGGCCGCCGTTCCCAGACCAAACGCAACGAGCTGGCGCCGCACGCCTGCAGCTGTGGCGCCATGGGCACTGTGGGTGGATTGCCAGCGGTGCTGTAGCTGCTCACCTGCGAGTAGACGGACTGGCCAACCTCATTGACGGCGGCCAGCCGAAAGCTGTAGACGGTCGTCGACTGCAGCTTGTTGAGCACATAGTGCTTGGCCTTGATCTTGGCCAGCTCGACAAATTGCAGCGCATTGCCACGGCCCACATCGTACTCGAGCAGATAGTGCTGAATGGGAGCACCATTCGAGGCAGGCGCCGTCCAGCGCAAATTGATGGAGCTCTTGGTGCGCGACACCAGCTTCGGCGGCAGAGGCTGATCCGGTTCGCAGGCGGGCGTCTTGAACTCGGTGGGTTCACTGACGCTGCCCTGGAGCTGCTGATAGTGCACCTGCAGCCGCACCAGATAGTCCTGGCCCGGCTGCAGATCCTGCACAATGCACTCGTACGCCTCGCCCAGGTAGAGACTCTTGTATTTGCACTGTTTCCCTGTATCGCTGAGCAGCACCTGGTAGCGCAGATCTTGGACCAGCAACTCATCCGACATGGCTGGTGGTACCCAGATGATCTTCGCAGTGCGAGAGCTCACATCGATCACATCGGGCTTGTCGATGGCGGAGATTTGGTCCACTATCAGTGCCTGGTAGTCCTCGTCATCCTCGGCGGCCAGACTGGATGTATCTTCGCCATCCTCCGAGGTGCCCACCGAGCTGCCGGTGCGCTGTGTTGTGGCAGCCACCTGCTGCACTTGTTGTTGGCCAGTTGTTGTGCTAGGAACGTTGACGGTTTGGCGAACGTGTTGCTGCTGCTGCTGTTGCTGTTGCTGCTGATGTTGTTGTTGTTGGTGGGGCGGCAGACGGCGTCCATGGTTGTGCATGTGATTGTTGTTGTTGTGTTGGTGCTGTTGCATTGGAATGTTGTTGTTGCTGTTGTTGTTGTTGCTGTTGAAGTGACCATTGAGGTCACTGCGACGCGGTGAAGGCGAATGCGTGGGCGTGGACATGCTCGAGTCTAAAATCGAATAGATTATTGAATGGATGTGGTATATATATATATATATGTATACATGTCTTGGACTCTACTCACTCTGCTCGCGTTGCTTTTCCAGTTTGCGCAGCAGTTTTGTATGCTGGCGCTGGCTGCGCTCATCCCGATAGTTGGGCGGCGACGGCGAGTGCGGGGAATGTAGATGCGACGAAGGTGCTCCACCAACGCCTGACGTCGCCGTCGACTGTTGCTGCTGCTGTTGGACGCCGGGCTGCTGCTGCTGCTGTGGTGGCTGCGGCTGCGGTGGCATATGATAGTGAGGTGGTCCATTGCCAGCCGGCCCAGGACCGGGTGAGTAGCTGGGCAGCGGCGTATAAAAATGCGATGTGCCATTGCTGCTTATCTGCGCAAACGGGAAAAGTGGTTTAATTAATTTTGTTGGCCAACCAGTAAATAGTTTGGTTAAATAAATACACATATTCTTGTTGTCGACGTGGTTGTCGACGGCTTCGTCTTCGTTTCATTCTTCGTTGCCTGCATTGCGCTCTGAGAAACAACTGTGCCAACAAAATTACCACGTCAACGACTATAGCAACTATAAATAAACCAACGCCAATTGTGCGAGCTGATAAACAATTGCGGAAAACGGCACCTTATCGCCAGCTGGGCTTGTATACAAATATTTCAAATTTTGGTAATTGGTTTCAAGTACTGCTGCTTGATAATGACTGTTTTGTAAATATATTGTTATTCTACTGGTAAATACAGGCATTTGTTCTGTTCTGTTCTGTTCCGGCAATGTTAACACGCTGTTATGCTCAAATGACTATGCTAAGCATTCGAGAATAGAATACAGTGGAATGAAAATGTCAAAATAGTTATTTATATTGTATTTGTATTTATTCAGCGCGATTGTTAATTACTATTTTTGGTATATGCATTAGATTGTTTTATTGCTTTGTTTCAATTCTGTCAATAATTTCATTTATTTTCCCTTAATCATCGTGGTGCATCAAATTATCGATATAAATTCATCGCTGCAAATACGTATCAGCAGTTCGCAAAAATGGCCACACTTTTCTATGTTACGCGCGCGATTCAAATATGCTTGCAGGAACTAATGAAACTTAACGATTCGCGGATATTTTGAGCGCTGCGCTTGCATTTAAGCCAAAGCCAAAGATTCATTTGTGCGATAAGCTTGGAAAAATTGCTCAATTACATGACAAAAATGGATTTGGTGCCAAATATGACGCCGTTATTTTCAAAAGGTATATTTAAAATAAATGCACTAGCATTATGTAAATAGCGGTTCTGCGTGCCAAGTGATTGTGCTCCTGCAACCAAGTTGCCAAACTATTTGGCTTTGGAGACGGCGGCTGTGGCAGCAGCTTTCAAAATGCATCAGCTACCATTTTGGCAACTTACTCGTAAGCAAATTGACATAAATAAGACGTTCAAAACTAATGCGCGTTAGTTTAGTTGAGGTTTTTCTGATGACTCTGACTATATATAAATTAGAACACAATCGTTTTATAACGAGATTTTGACATAATTAGAAACGGAAACGGTCATTTACTTCAACTACATTTTGTGGCTGCTACTGTCATGTAAATTTACTTAAGAACACTGATATGAAAACAAACAAACAGTTAAAGAGTCGAGCGTAACCAGCTGCATAATACTCTGTTTTAAGTGAAAATTACTTCCTGAATATGAGGTTAATTAAAAAGTTATTTGTCATTTGCGAAACTTTTAAGGTCATCAGAAATACACATTCAAGTTATCACAGCTTTGGCTACTTTTATTTCGCTTTAAATATTTATAATGCCTGCTTGCCATTTAGTGATAAATGTTTAACTAAAAGCAGAAACCAACTGCACAAATTATAGAGAGGCATACCAAGCTTATCATAAATTTGTATGTCCGCTTGTATTGCAGTTGAGAATTGTTTTGCATTTTTGCATTTGTAGTTAGTTAAGTTATTGTAGCCATTATTGCTTTGACAACACGACACCACAAATTAACAGCTGGACGGGTAAATCCCACTGGCTGCTTCTGGGAAATCATCTTCGTAGTTCTCCGCTGGATCCGGTTTGTTTGATGGGAATGTTAGGTAAACAATTTGTTTTGTTTTTTGTATTTTTTTCAAGTGGTGCAAGTGGTGGGGAGACTTCTCCAATCAAATGAAGTATATTATTAATTGCAAAGACAAGTTTGCTTATGAATATTGCGAATGCTTGATAACTGAATAGCTAGTTTCCGATCGATAAATATCGATAAGATGTGAGAGAAGCTGAGAATCTAGTTTAGCATAGCTAAGATAAACTTTTATCGATAAGATGTGAGAGAAGCTGAGAATCTAATATAGCCCAGCTACGAGTGTCTCCTAGTTTTATTTATTTTTATTTTATTTAAGCTATTATTCCTATATTTATTGCTATTGATAATTGAGACTCAATTATAATTATATAGGTTGATAAGTCACAGAGGTTGTTAGATTGCCTTGGAAAAGAGGCAGCGTGTTGCCTCCTTATCAGCATTTTAATAACAAACTTTGAATGAGCTGTGAATACCCCTAGGGAAAATCACAGCGCTCCACTGCGAATAAATAGCAAAAATGTCAAACCGAAATACAAACGGGGCAGCTAAATTATATAACAACAACCCGTTCCTAATCAAAATAAAATATACAATCGACTATTTTTGCTGATAATGATTGCGATTGTACAAATAATTGTCTTAATATTTAAATCATATTCATAAAACTGGAAATTGTGGCGTTACTTACAAATGGCGTTGCATGCAGATGACCCTGTCCGGGGTGCAACTGCTGGTACTGCTGCGGGGGCAGCACTACGTGGGTCAGTGTTCCATTCTCATGAACGTACGGTGGCACCTGTACCGGTACGGGCACCGTCATCGTCGGTGGCGGTCGATTGTGGGAAACCATTTGAACTGCCGCTGGACCTGCAATTAGTCAATTCGTGAAGCGTTTTGCTTTAGTACACAATGAAATTATGAATAGATACCTTAAAATAAGCAACTAAATTTGAGTAACACAAATTAGCGAAGTTAAAACTTAATCCTTATGAATGGTGTTATTGTCAAATAAAATATTTCAAGTAATTTGACGCCGAAATGTCAAAACAGATCTTTTATGTGGCCAGCAACATTTTAAGGTAATGAGAAAGATGTCAACACAAGTTACGTTGGCTTAAACACATCAAATATGACTTGAGCAGTCGCTCCATACCATTTTCCATTTGCAGTTATGTAATCTAAGAGATTGACATGGCAACTTCAATTAGACCGTTAATACCAAACAGAAATAAATAAACCATAAATGCCTCCTTCTACCTGTTGCATTTAATACAACAGCTTTATTATTATAGCGTACTCTTCTACCCTTTTTTATGGCTACGGTTACGGAGTAAAACAAAAACTTGAGTGCGGAGATGATTTGATGCTTGGTCGACGCAAAATCATCAAAAGCACCAAAAGCCCTGTGGCGACAACTCGGCGACGCGTCAACAACGATAACTTCTCAGTTTTATGTCAATACGGTTTTATACATGCACAGCTATATATATATATATATATATATATATTATATATTAAGTATATATATATATATGTATATATGTACCCTTGTGTGTGAAGCAGTCAAACAATGTATGCCAGCCGCTGAAGTCATGCGACATTTATGGAAATATGAAAAAATATATTGAAGTCACCTTCCGGCATAGAGATTTTATGCCCGATTTTTAAGCTGCATATTTATGAAATCAAAATAGGATCGAGTGTTGCTGCTACCTCATATAAAAAAATGCACATCTCTCCCCATAAAGGGATACGGTCTGTATTCTGTATTCAAGTAGAAAGCAGGTCGCATCGATGGCAAGCCAAATAATGAGCAACATTCGCTGCTGGACAGGACACAAAAGGATGCGTAGCTAGGCGATAAAGTACCCCATATATATGTATACAGTTTCTTGAGCTAGCTGCTGGTGCTGCCTTCACACAATTGTGTGTTCACCTTGTTATAAATATACGAAAGCCAAAGGGCCTTCCCAAGTTGCAGTCGTAATGCATTTGAAGATAACAACCAACCCTCGGCAATGTTGTTGGCAACAGTGTTAGTGTTTAATGCAAGACAGGGCTAAGTCTCCATTTTCAGTCGAGGCGAATGCAAGCAATATAAATATTCGTAATGCCGGTTCGTGACCTAATCAGCCGTGAAAAGCAGCCCAGGCTCTGGCTACAATTCCATTGCATTGCGCCACAGACTCGACTCGCTGCGACTTAGGTGTAAAAATGTCGGTTTAGTGCGTTGACGCATAACGTTGTAAAGTAGAATTGCTGATAGTTGATAACAACAACAGCGGAAAATGCAATCCATTTCACAATATAAAGCGAAACAGGGGTTGTCTGACTGCGTCTGGTCTGGTCTGGTCTGGACGGGTGTAACTTACAACCATGCACCACCACAGAATGAGGAGGCCACGAGACTTTGGAGCCAGTATCGCCTACGGCGAATTGCCAAGTGTTAAAAGGCAGCAATTAGTTGAGCGTTGAGCGTTGTGTGTGTGGAGTGGCTGAGTTTTCAGGATTGGGGATTGGGGATTGGGGATTGGTAGACTTAAGGTGGAATGGTTGTGGTGTGGTCGGTCTGGTTGGTGGAGCTTAACATTTGACCAGCAGACAGTGAAATGCCTGGAGGGCGAACGCGTCGGAGTGTCGTCTGTCTGCAGTCTGCTGCAGTCTGCACTTAAACTCAAACTTAATTAATGCTAAACAGCTTAGGGCAGCGCACAAACAACTTACACTCAAAAAACATTCATATGTACATTCGATTGAAGCATATTTACAACAGATAATAGAAAAATTGGATTGAATTAAGCAATCGGACAATTGCAAGCAAATTGGATTCAAACGTGTTCTACAATCGGTTTATAACCAGTCTATAACCCTTTATTCCTCTTCTACTTTCTCATTACTTAAATTATTTATTATTTAATTGGGTTCGCTAACAATATTTAGATTTGGCATTCTTATGTTCAGTTTAATAGCAATGCTATTCTCTTGTCCAGTTAGAGTCATTTTCATTTCCTCTGCCAGATTTCGCATATTAATTTAATGGTCAAGTATAAACTAGCTATAAGATCATAAATATAGCGAAACACTCAAAAGTGTATATAAAAAATATATATATTATATTTAATCAGTCTTTCAGTGAGGTCAAAGCATAGTTTAAAGTGCTATTAAAAGCGAAGGTGCTATTAATTTGTAGCACTTTTACTTTAGATATTTATTTACTGTGATTGTTCTGTTGTTTGATTGAATGATTATTTTTAACCTTAGATATATATGTTTTTTTTTCGCTAGATATTTATTTAATAAAATGCTGTGTTCGCTATTAAAGCCTTGTGGCTTCAACTGTTGGACTGATTATTTTTGCCTGTAAAATGAGCTTTTTATTTAGTTAAGCAAGAGGCATGTAATTAATTTTGTGGCAATTTCAAGAGAGACTCGAGACCTGAGTTTGGTGAACGTGGCAGCAGCCTTGACTGACTGACTGACTGCTCGCCATTTTGATTGTGATTTCAAGCCAAGAGTCTTTAAATTTGCAATTCTTGCGCTGCTTGAATATCTAATTTTATGAATGCCGCTAAAAAACAATAGCGAACTTTTGCACCCTTGTTTTTTTTTTTGTATTTTTTTGTTGCCATCGCAATGCTCATAAATTGCTCAGCAAAAGCGTTGTGCGGCGTTGGTGGGTTGGTAACACAATTAGTTGGCAGCACGGCGACTAGAATAAAAACAAATCTGGAGAGAATAAAAAAAAATGCTAGCAAAGTTTGCTAAGCAAAGCAGTTGAAATAACAACAATAAAGACAACACACTCGCAAATAATTCGCTGATGGCAAACAGCAAATAATTTATTTGCTCAAATTTTTGGCGACTTAAATACAAAAGCACAAACAAAAAAAGCAACTAAAACAAATACGAGTCGAAAAACACGTGTTTGATGGTGACGCTGCGCAATTTGGGCAGGAAGATTTATAAGGCCGCAGCGCCAGTTTCGACACAGTTAAGGATACTTCAAGGACAAAAGGCAAGGCAAAAAACCGTTCAAATCCAGGCGAAAAGAAGAACGCACAACACACACAACACAACACACAAAACAAGCAAAACAAGCTACAACAACTGAAGGAGCAGACGCGACTAGATATGAAAGTTGGCTAACAACGACAACAAGAGATAAAAAACAATAACAATAGCAAACAAAAAAACAAAAAAAAAACAATAACAATAACACAAACTTAAAGGTGAAGAATCGATTCTTGTGTTTTGCGAATTGATTTCTGTGCCACACAACAACAAATATGCCTCAACTGTATCTGCTTGTTATCTGCTGTAACTATGAAGTTTATTACTTAAAGCGTGTGTCTGCATCTGTGTGTGTGTGTATCTGTGTATCTGTGTGTGTGGCAAGTGGGAAACGTTTTGTTCAACTTCAATTATAACAATTGAGAAAGTTTGCAACGTTTCAGATTAATTTACTCGCTCAAGGCACACGTTTCGAAGTTTGCGGCATTCAGCTCAGCTCAGTTCAGTTCAGTTCAGTTTTTTAGACTCGCAACTTTTTGCATAAGCCAAAATGAGAAGAAAAAACAAAAACAAAAATAAAGCAAAGGAAGTACTTTGCAATGGGTAATAGAAAATGCATTGGCTGGTGGCATGTTGCCTGCAACCAAGCAGAAAATGACCCAAATAATTTTAATACATTTTTGCTTCTTTTTTTTTTTTTTTTGATGCTGCTGCGTTTAACTGGTAATTGGTAACTGGTAACTGGTAGCTGGTAACGGGTAAACGGGCAGCGGCTAAACGGCCAACTGGCTGGCTAATAATGCAACAAACGGCATTTTGCAAAATATTCTATTCATAATGGATACATTTCGCCAGTTGACTGATTCTGCCAGACTGGCGAACATTTGTCGCACGCAAAACGCAACTCAAATTTATTTACAGAGTATCTATCCGTTTGTCATCCTCTCACTTTCTAGTAAAAATATTTAATTGCTGAAATCAAATTTTGGGTTTTTTTTTCAATGAATAAACAAATGCTAAATGCAAATTTTTCTGGGAAAGTACTCAGCGCAGAACTTCGAACATGTCAACGATGCCGAATGAATCGACAATTTAAGAATTGAATATTTTGTGCAACTGCGCTAAAGCTTATATAAACCATAAATATCAAATAAATTCTTTATGTATTATAATGGGGGGAGGGGCATGCTTGACTTCTAACATATGTTTTAATAAGCGGCAAAATGTTGACTGCTGATTGCGTCAAATGGTTTTTATGAATGCAAACCACTGCGGACAAACAGGCATTTAAATAAACAATCAACCGAAACCCAAAACAGATTCTATGAGTCAGCCCCAGTCACTAAAAGAGTGACTAAAAGAATAAACAAGTCAGGCATATGGGTTACTGGTTACTGGTTACTGATTATCTGCTTTGAAAACATATAAGAAATCTGGTCTTAATAAGCCATAGTTAATAATTGGCATAAGGCTTCTTTTTTGTTGTTTAAATTTGGCATAAATTGCTAACAAAGATCAAGTTGAATTTTTGTAGAAATACCTTTTATTGCTTTAGTAACCATTCAACTATATATTCAATATCTGCTTGTGGAATGCAGTGCTGCATTTTTGGCCAACTCAGTTCAAGCTGCATGCAGCCAATTGATGGGCGTGGCCGGTAATTCACTGAGATTTCACACTGGGCAACAAGTACGCCAAGGAGCTGTCAGAAAAAGTATTTGCACTTTCCATATTGACAGCTGTTTGTGTGAGTTTGATATTTTTTCGCTCTTAGCTCGTTCTTGATTTGGACAGCATGCTAAGCACAATGTGAGCAATGACATCATCCCGAACCCGACCGGTGTGTGTAGTACGCG